TGTTTTGAAATATATTCCAACAGAAATTCTCAACAATCAGTGAATGGCAATGAAACCATTAGAGCATAATTCATTCATTTACTCTGAAAGTGAGTAAAAAAGCACCATAAAGCCTCTTCTGTAGCTCTCAAATGTAATTCACGCTTTACAATTATATGGGTTTGGAACAGACTGATGGCAGAAGGTCTGGACTCCATTGCAGGTTTCATTGGCCAAGGACTGCCCAGAGGCCGTCTGACTGACATGTAAAGCAACCAATCACAGTTAATTTTGTTCCATATCATGCTTAGGGACTTGAAAATGTAACATCAATGTCCCTACAATAACAAACCCGTGTGTAAAACTGTACTGTGTAAAACCGTGTTGTACGTATTTTAAAGAGTCTATGCCGCAAACTTTACATGCTTCACATACTTTTGTATATCCAGCGTTTAGTTGATCCTGATCAGCGCTCTTTGTCACAGCTGTAAACAGGACAGCTTTCTTCTTCCATGAGGGGGTTTGGCACAACAACATCTTAGTTTCGGACCGTTAAACAACGCAACACACGTCTCCTGGACATCCTGAAGAATTCAACCAATCAGATAATGTTTTCGAAGTTCGAAAATCCTGTAGTGTTTCCAGTTAAGTGTGCCATATGCATCAGGCGTTCAGCCAGTGGTCCGTGGGCGTTACGTCATAGGCTGAGACTCGCTTTAGAACAACATGAGAGTAAATAATGGCATACTTCCTTAAAAGGAATAGTTCGAGCCAAAATTCTAATGTTCTGTCATTATTCACTCACCCTCATATTGTTCCAAACTTGTATGACTTTCTTCTGTGGAGAACAAAAGTAGATATTTTGAAAAAAAATTCAACTGTAGTTGTCCATATAACGAGTATTATAAAGACATGAGGGTGATTAAATGATGACAGAATTCAAATCCAGAATTTTCTTAGGTGATCTATTCCTGTAAGTCCTATTAATTATCTCCTCTGACATTTTTTTCTCAGTCTTTGAAGAAGAGTTGATAGGTTTCGTCTTTTTGTCGGTGAAAATTTGTTGCGTTTGCAAGAGCAAGACACAGGAAGACACTACAAAACTGTCAGAGCTATCACCTTCCTTCAACACATCTCTCAGTGTGATGTGATGAAAGCTGTTGCATCTTGCAACTCGTGAGGCACGTTGTCTGTGTTGACCGGACGTCAGATATGTATATGGTCCTTACGGATGAACAAAGTGTTGAAGTGAAGAAGACGCTGAATGACTCTTAAAAGAGTGTGATCTGTCGATCACCCTGGCAGGGTGGATGTAGTGTCACTGACACAATTGAAGATGCAGAGAAAGCCAATTGTTTAGTCTGTGACACAGAGAGATTAAATGGTTCAATGAAGATTTGTGGACTGTCAGTTAGACGGAAGGGGACGGCGTGCAGGAAATACCGTGGGCCGATAGCTTAGGATGAGAACAGCGTCTTGGTCTTTTCACAAAGGAACCCAGATGACTAATTAATTAGGAGATCAGAGAGCGGAGGGAATTCGTCTCGGCTTTGCACAGGTGTTTTAAATCTATTTTAGAGAAGATGGTGTCCTGCATTGCTGTGGGGGGGTGGGGGGTTATGTCAAAAAAGGCTGAATCTGGACGGGAAAATGAGTATTCCAGGTGAAGTGTCTTTGTGTAGATATCCAACCCCTGCTGGGACAGAAACCGACAGCTGGTTTGGGGCACACCGTGCTAGCACTTAACAAATCAGAATAGAGGAGTCTGGCCCAAGGAGAAATCAATGGGGAGGTGGAAAGGGATAATCCAGCATTCATCTAAGATTCCTATTAGCACCAAGAAAATGGGTGGAAAATGCAAGTGGCTGACTGTGATCCGAGCTGCCTGCCTAAAAGCATAGACACTGAACCCCGAGGAGATACAATAGAAGCAAGATAACCCACAGAATGCGTTTAACTGGCCTGTAACATAGGGGGGGAAACTGCATCAGATTGTTGCATCAATTCATCGTTTTGGACCTGAACAGCCGTGTTGTCAGAATGCAAAAATATTCACAACTGAGAAACCAGTTGCTTTGCCGTCGCTTGAAAATGTATGTCAGTTAGCAGAGCTCCGAGGAGAGTTCCGCACTGTAGCGGTGGGCCAAGAACTTTGGAATGACCTACTTGTCCCCTCATTAATTGGGTAAGAGGAGTAACCTTTCCTTTAAAGAGTAGAACCGTGACTTCTTCTGTCCCAATGGAAAGTGATCTGACCTTAATCTGTCAGATGGAAAAGAGAGCTCCGCCATTCTCTCGTGGTCTCAGTGTTCCTGTTCCAGAGACCTAGGTGTTGGGTTGAAATTGGTCAGGGCATTCTGTCTTCGATTGCTTGATCCACTAGCATCCAGCAATATTGGGTGTTTCATTATATTAGATTAGATTAGATTAGATTTGATTAAATTAATCTGTACATTAGTTAGATTTGTACATCTGTACATTTAGGCATAATTCAGTGACTCTTTCTGCAGGTCGCAGCTATACAGCAGTAGGTGTTGACAAGTGACTGTTTTTATGAGTGAATCATTGAGTCATTCAATCAACCATATCGATTTGTTCAAAAGCATTCAGGAATGTAACAAGTGACTGTCAATGAGTGAGTCACTGAATTCGGGATGTGTGAAACTAGCCGACTACTGCCGACTGCTAGCCGACTTTGCACATTTAACATTTGCTTTATATTTTTACAAAGGCTATGTTTAAATTACCATCAACTGGCAATATTGGTGTCTAAAATGTAAGGTACTCGTACTACTTGATATTAACTTCTTGTTTATGGTTTCTGTTTGTAGAAAAGCAGTAAAGTGGACAACTAGAGCTTTTTCTGTGGACACGAGTCAATTTGACAGCGTTTGGTTGGTGTGAAAGTGGATTTCCGTACTCTACTGTGCACCAACGACCCACACCAGTCAAACAAACTAAACTTTGTCAAACTGACTCGTGTCCACAGCAAAACCCTAGTGTGAAAGCGCCCTCAGAATATCATCAGGATTTCATACAGTATATAGACAGGGAAAATAAGCATGACTGAGCTCAGTTGGGAGTCGACAGACTTTTAGCACAGAAGATTAGAGAGAACATTATTCTTGACACCACGATCAGACCCTCAAGCCCGAGGGCAAATCTGATGTGCTGCTGTCTTTGAACCTATGACATAAAATACTTATTAACATTTTTTGACTGCATTTGATTTATCATCATGGATTGACACGGTTCGGTGTGTACACGAGATAGCGTTGTGGTGGCAACCATGCACCTTTTAGTCCAATCCAGTGAGGCTTTTCACCTCTGCTTCCACTTTCCACTATCTAGGCTGGTGAGAATCTCAGCAGTCCTCATGAGGAAATTATAGTGGTTAGTTAAATTTTGTACCTTTTTGTTATGTATTCAGGTTGCCATAGCAAAGTCGATTTAATCTGACTCTGGAGAAGCCGGTCCTAAATTTGGAGTGATTAGCTTCAGGCTCCACACTGGTCTTCAGAAATTATAATAACATATTGTCGTGCACATTTGTCCTTGCAGGAGCCTGAAAAACTGTGATTAAAATTACAGTTTTCCTTAGGAGTTTCCTTTACTTCCTTAAGATAGTTAACGCTTGTTAAAGAGCAAAGCCATGGTTTTTACTGCTCTTAAGAATCCCATCCATACATATAGCTGTTTACCACAACCCTCTAAATGTCACAGATTATTATTCATATACTGTGTGGGAGACTTAATTTGAAGTGCAAAGCATTAACCATTAGGAGGCAATTTAAATACACCACTTTGACATGGACTCTGATATGTCTGCCACCACTGGTAATGAAACCATTCATCAGTTTAACACTGCATGCTTGCAGAACATGCGTGTTCATATTTCTCTGTCTTAGGCTAACACAGATGGCTGATGAGCAGCAAATGATAGCTCAACAACATTACGAGAAAAAGTTTGCATTGCATTTGTGTTTTGCTAATTCTGATTTACATTGCAAATGTGTACTTTTCCTCAACTGGTAGACAGAGATGAGTCAATGTTTAGTCAACAGAGGAATTTAATTCTGTCCTGATGCATGACATGATCCACTCAGTCTAAAACTATTTTAAACAGCATTTTGCACATTCATTTTTACACAAAAAAAATACATGTTTTTTTTTTTTTTTTTAAATGATTATTCATGCTATTTTTATTGATCGAGAAGCCTCATGCAAACAGAGACTACATGATATATTTGTGCTTTAAAAAAAATAATTTGCCACACCACAGGACCTTTTAAAATGAACTAGTGAAGGACAAATGTGATTAAAAAAAGGTCAAAAAATGCAAATCCATTATCTATCCATTTAAATTTTGACCTAAAATCATGATTTGCATTTTAAAATCTCATAGACAAGTAGACGTTATGCATCAACTATACAATTACATTTTTGAATGCTTAGATGGGGCCTAGATTTATGTTGAGGCTAAATAAATGGCACTAGCAAGGTTAATTTTCATACTGATGTGTCGCATTTGAGGTTGCTTTTAAAGTCCCCGTGAACCGGAAGTTGCAAACGACTTTTCTCCAGTGTTGTGACGTATTTCCGAGAGAAACGGAATACTAAATGAGGAAAAATAGTGGGCGTGGCTTTTTTTCCAACTAGCACCTGATTGGATCTAGAAAAGTAGGTGTTTTCATTCAGCCTGTCTACTGTCAGTTGGAGGGGCGTGGTTACGGATGTTAAGCAGACGCCCAAACCGTGAAACCTACGTCATCAGGGAAGGTCCTCCAATGCAGAGGGGAGGGGAAATTTCAGATTTTGATTAAAGATTACGAAGCCAAATTTTTTTTGTGTGTGGATTGACTTGCATGGATGAATTGTTCACCACAAAACGATCAATTTAGGCAAACAAAGTAAGTATGGTCAATTTTGAATTCATGAGGACTTTAAGGATCTGCCAATGAATAAATGTAATGCAAATGTATTGAAAAGTTTCTTGTTCATTGTTCCATATCCTTTCACAGGCACCTACGGACCACGGAGATGGGCCTCCGTTTATCCAGAATGTGGGGAAAGGAATCAGTCTCCAGTGGACATCCTAGATCAAGACACCCGAGTCTCTCAGGAGTGCCAGGAGCTCACCTTGAATGGCTTTGAAACCAAGTCATCAAACAGGACTACCATGAAGAACACGGGCAAAACAGGTTCATCAACAAATTAAACTTTTAACAATCCTCATCTGCTCTCATTTCAGAACTTTGACCATCTTTATTTACACTCTTAGCTTAAGGCCACTTACATTTTTAAAATGTTTCCAAATAATTGCACTGTAAGAAACATGTAGATGTTGAAAGGTTTCCATCATGACACACCATTGCATCAGGTTTTAGGGAGTTTGAAAGTCATAGCCCAAGCAAATAGTAGACATCTTGTACACTGTCTAACACCACCCTCAGTAAGTTCCTATAAGATCACCCTGGATTGTGTTATGATGCTTGTACATCTGTTGTGGATGTGGAAATCTGAGCAGAATTAATTACAGCTATTTTTTGAAGACTCGAACTACCATTCAAAAGTTTGAGGTTGCATAAGTCTCTTATGCTCATCAAGGCTGCATTTATTTGATCAAATATACAGTAAAAACAAGTTTTCTGAATTAATATTACAATTTTAAATGACTGTTTTATATTTTGATATAAAGCTGAATTTTCAGCATCAATACTCCAGTTTCTGTGTCACATGATCCTTCAGAAATCATTGTAATATGTTGATTTGATGCTCATCTCTTATTATAATTTTTTTATCGTGAAACAATTTCTTTGGTGAATAGAAAGTTCAAAAGAACAGCATTTATTTGAAATAGATTTTTTGTAACAATGTAAAAGTCTTTACTGTCACTTTTGATCAGTTGATCATGCATCCTTGCTTAATAAAATATGAATTTCCTAAAATAAAAATAAAAAATCCACAAACTTTTGAACAGTGGTGTAATGTGGTGTATCACTAATATGACTAACATCCGCAAAAAAAAAAAAAACTTAATTTAATTAAGTTAACTTAATTTAAATGTAAAAAAATATATATTCAAATTTTTTATTTCTGAATGTTCTCCATTTTCCTAAGAATTCTTAGTGGCCATAAATATTTTTATTCAGTCCCCCACACCTTATCTACCATCATTTACATTTAGTATTTTTGCACTAGTTTGTAGGGAAATCAAATCACCCACTTTGGCCTGCTAATCTAAAACTAACGAGGATCGTTGATGAAACGGCATACTTTTCAAATGATGCATTCTGCTGGTTTTAATTAGTAGTGATATTGAGAATGGCACACTCTAAGAGCGCTATATTTACTCTTGAGAAGGTTTCTGGGAATGCTCGCCAAGACCATCAACTCATTGTGGCATAATTACCATAGACCTACTGTTTACAGAGCACAGCATTAGATCCTTTAAAGCCCCAGCATCACGGGATTGAAATCGCATTGTGGGTGTGGGGGCCCCTCGGTTGAAAACACGTTTATTGGGATCGGGCTGGGGGCCCCTAGGGGCCCCTCGGGCTGGGGGCCCCTAGAACCTTCACCATCTTTCGCCCTGCTAGCAACGGCCTTGCGAGCATCTCCTGAGTACCACGAGTCTTTAGCCCAGTGTGTGCATACAGCAACGTTTGTGTATTCACCAAAAGATCCTATCTCTTCACAAACATTCATCATATCCCACTGAATCAGTTTGTTTACTCACATCCCAACACTTCAGTTTACTTAAGAATTAAACACAGATCTCCACACGAGAGCTTCTGTGACGTGAGATGTCTTCACGTAGTTCGTTGCAGTTCATCCTAGTTTCTTTTGATCAGTCGTTCTAATGAGTATGTGGCAAAGCTGCAAAACTTTTCGTCCAGTTTAACATGGTACGATATGATTAAGGGCCAGATTTACCGAACAGGGCAAATTAGCGTGAGAGCGCAATCCCATTAAAGTGCCGATGGGGGTGGAAAGTTCTGCTCGGGATCTACTGACGACGTGCAAATTTAAGAACACAAACGCAGCCGGATCATTTCATAATGACCAACGCAATCTAACAAGAGCCGGTCAAATTAACGTCTGGTTTGGGTGATTAAATAATGGAGCAAATACCAGTAAATTGACTAGCGCAAACCATAGTAAATCACCTTGCATGATTCATTTAAATACTCTCCTCCCATACATTTTGTGTCTGAAAGGGAAACACCTAGCATTAGCAATAATGTCAGCCGCAAAAATAACTGTCCACACCTTTTCAGCATTCATTTTTCACTGCGTGTCTTTAGTGAATCCTGACAGTAGTATTTTAACGCCAAAGGAGGGTTTGCTGTGGCACAAGCAATCTGGCCCTAAGTGTTTTATGAAATGAAAAAACAATTAAAGTAGCCGTTTAAAGTGAAAAATGTGTAATGTTTTTGGAATTATAATTATAATTTGAAATAGTAATTTTTGCTTTCTCCTATCCAAGTTTATAATGCAGAGACGATAATAAGCTATATTGTAAGGTGATTCTAAGTTGAGCATTCAATAAATGTACTGTCACGTGAATGTTTGGTAACACTTTAGATAAGAGAACACATTCACTATTAACTAGGAGTTTTTCTTCAATAAACTTCTAATTGCTGCTTATTGGTAATAAGTAAGGTAGCTGATGTAGAGGTTATATTTAGGTATTGGGTAGGGTTACAGGATCTAGGATATGGTCATGCAGAAAAAGGCATTAATATATGCTTTATAAGTACTTCTAAACGGCCAACATGCTAGTAATATGCATGCTAAAAAGCAACTAGTTAATAGTGAACATGTATTCCCTAATCTACAGTGTTTTTATGATCTGGCTGTAAAAATTGTTAGTTAATGTTTTGATTTATTAACAAATAGGTTCAATAATGCATAGGGTTTATTTGCTGCAGATAGTGCTCCTATTTGATTCCATCAATTTCCTGTCTCTACTTACAGTTGAATGGATTCAAATGTCCAGAATGTTTAAAAACGTCTCAGAGTTTGACCAAGTTTATTAATTGGCATTGGAAAACCAAGTGTATGAAGTAGTTATCCTGTTTCTGCAGAGTCTACCCAGCAGAAGCAATGGAAGATATTTCAATTTGTTTACCAATCCAAGCTTTAAAGAGTCAAGAGGTCGACTCTTAATGCGGTATAATGTGACGGTCTGTGCCAGGAGAGCCCATGAAGCTCATTCTGATGTGTCCACTCTGGCCTGCAAAGTGCACACTCAGTTTTTTTTGCATCATTATTTGTTTTAAAGGTCCTTTGTCAACATAAAAAAGACAAAATTCCCCTAGAGCATTTTTACAGTCTGAAGAAAAGCAGGGTATTAAATGTGTGTAAATATATCTGAATGCATTATTTGTTGTTGATTTACACAGCTTAAAAAGCTGTACATATACTTGGGAGCCTTAGTTTTACATACTATGGCTAATTGTAATTTGAAGTAAATATTTATTTTAAGAGTATTTAACTCCCTCATCTTGCCTTGTTTTCTTCATCACAGTGTCTATAGTTCTGAGGAATGATTATTTTGTGAGAGGGGCCGGCCTACCTGGACGCTTCAAAGCAGAGAAGGTGGAGTTTCACTGGGGCAGCACCAATGGGTCGGCTGGTTCTGAACACAGTATCAATGGAAAGAAGTTTCCAGTAGAGGTGAGTAAGTCACATTATGTCTATAATACAGAGTTCATGAACTAGGGCTGGGTGATATGGGCCAAAAAATGATCACAATAAAATGTTTCATATCAGTCGATATTGATAATTATCACAATAAATGTCAAATCTTTATTTCTTTCAAGTTTAATGGCAGATTGTATTCTCCTGAGGGAAAGTTGTAGAAACCTATGGAAGCTTGTTTCCGCCACAGAATAAAAAATAAAAAAGGTAATTGCGACTTTTTGTCTCACAATTCTGACTTTTTTTCTCGCAATTGTGAGTTTACATTACATCTGAGAACAAATTTCAAATGACTCATTTAATACATTTAATGTCTATAGTACACATTTAGATCCCACATTTCTGCCACAATCCAATGGTTTCAGTTAGTGCTACTACAGTAAATCCATGGTAAGGAAAAAGCCTTCTGTATCGTTGTGGCACAAAGTTTCTCCTGTTTTCTGCGTAAGTGTTGTTGAGAATGTCAGCGCCGTTTCGTCTGGCTTTAAACTAGTTTAAATCACAAGGCATTTGATTTGTTGTTTGCATGGGAAAACTCTGCATGAAATGGAACACTTCTTACTGGATCTCACAGTGCTGTTTAGTGGGTGCGAGATCGAGATGGTCAACAAGTAAATGCATTGTGAATAGTCCTTAAACCACTCACTTTCACATTTAAAAAATCTCGTTAGGAATGTATTTTTAGATTAGCAGGATAACTTTACTAAATGTGTTTCTTTAAAAAAAGCTCAAGGATTCCACCTTAATTTGAGTACCGGTAGGTTGAAAGTGGTGCTCTAATCTGCACTAATTGAAGAGCCTCTCAATGAAACTGGGATCGATGTGTTTTATTGACTTGATGGTGCGACCGCTGCATTTCACAAAAGAGCAAGGATATTCTGCTTCCTTCTCACCTCATCTTTAAAATGATTTGAGTTCTGTGGTCGGTTGCATAAACTGCTTAGACTAGTCTTAAAAGTTAGTCATCTAAATTTTTGTTTGCTTGATTGGTCTAATTGGAATTAGAAAAGTAACACTGATTACCTCTTGGTTAACTACCGGTACTAGTAGCCAAACTAGTTCTGAAGACAAAGTCCTAACAAAGTTGTGGCCCCTGCCTGTTTTTTTTTTCACCAGTTGATCTTGGTGTGTAAATGGACCGAATGTTTCTATTCAGTATTATTTAAATTTGTAACAATTATTGTAATAATAAGACATAATATCTGAATATATACATTGGTGGTTAAAAGTTTAGAATAATTAGTTTTTTTTTATGTTTTTGAACAAAGGCTGCATTTATTTGATGAATCATACAGTAAAAACAGTAATATTGTGAAATATTATTAAAATTTTAAATAGATAAACACAATGTATTCCTGTTGATGGCAAAGCTGAATTTTCAGCATCATTACTGTCACATGATTTTTCAGAAATCATTCTAATATGCTGATTAGCTGCTCCAGAAACATTTCTTATTACCTATCTTGAAAACAGTTGTGCTATATCATATTTTTGTGGCATCCGTGATACACTAACCATTTAAAAGTTTGGGGTAAGTAAGATCTTTAAAAAAAAAATGTAATACTTTTATTCAACAAGGAGACATGAAATTGATTCAAGTGACATTTATAATGTTTTAAAAAAAAATAAAAATAAATGCCATTCTTTTGAACTTTCTATTCATCAAAGAATCCTGAAAAATTGGTATCAAAGTTTCCACAAAAATGCTAAGCAACAAACACTTATTTTAGAATGTAATAATATTTCACAATATTACTGTTTAACTGTTTCAAATAAATTCAGCCTTGGTGAGCATAAGAGACTTCTTTCAAAAACATTAATTATTCCAAACTTTTAACCTCCAGTGTATTATTGTTATTATTATTAAATGTATTGTAATATAGTGTATATAAATATGAATAAAAATGAATAAATAATTATAAAATGTTATTTATTTATTCTTATTATTATTATTAGTTGTAGTAGTAGTAGTAGTATTTTTTTATGAATGAATTGTGTGGATGTGAGAAAAGAACCCTAGTGCTAATCTCAGTCAACAATGACGAAATGCCATGAATCTTTAATAAAGTATAATTCCTTTTGCATGCCTTACAGGGTACTGCTACTTGTTTTAAAACAACCTTCCTGTTCAAAAAGTGTCTCGTTTGCCTGGCAGATATTATTTTGCACAAGATTAGTATTAGCTCTTGATTGTAAACCTTGTCCATTTGGCCTTAAACACTGCATGCACATTGAAGTTCATTCACATTGAACTTTTCACAATGAAGAAAAAGCAACACTTGGTGAAAATGGTGCATAGCCTGAGACTGGACGCACCACTGCATTAATACCGTTATGCAATCACACATTATACACTGGAACATGTTAAGTCAAGTGTATGCTGTTTGCTGGCCTTTTTCCCCCCGCACATGGTTTCTGTCTCATTTTGATTCATTAACTAAACGTGTTTGTGCTGTGCTTTACTCTCGGTCACCATAAACTCTGTATTGGCTCTTGGAGGAAGCTAATTGGCTAATGAGGTTTAGTGATTAATGAGTAATATATTTCCCCCTGTGAAGACACAATAAATGGACACCATTAAAGTCTGTGATTTAAAAGAGGCCTGAAGGAGACTGATTGGTTTTCATTAAAGACTTTAACTTTGTTCTTTCTTCTCTTTATTAGCGAATTAATTCATTGTCCACCCCTTCTGACATTGTCTGGCCTTAATTACTTTGTTTGGGGGTTAGTTTTCTGTTGCCTTACTTTTGCCTGCAATTCTTTCGACATGTATGTTGCTTCGCCAAGGACATACCTCTCTCCGTTACAGAAACAGCCCTTTATTTTATTTCAATGTTCGAACAAGGTCAGAATGTGTTCAAAGTAGAAACCAATACTACATTTTGAGCCAAACTCTACTGGCTTTTATCCAAGATCTAGCAGTATTTCTTATCTATCATTACAGTGTCTACACAACAACAATTTAGAGGATGGGAAGGCGAAATCATTTGTATTCATCAGTCTAAGTTTGTTCGAAATTAGCTGGCACAGAGGTCAGACGACCTGGGCTGGATCCACCTCTCTGGCAGCACTTTCTCATTAGACGAATCGACTTCCCTCCATACATCCCATTTTTACACAGAAATACAATTGATGTGTATCTGTACGCCGCTGGATAGCCTCTAAGCATTATCTAGCGATTTAAAACCCAAACACACTGAAGCCAGAGACTGGAGATGCATCCAATTATCTCTCGACTTCTTCTGTTGACCTCTGGCTCTATCTAGCACAGTAAATTAAACTACGACAGCAATAGTGTTAATTTTATTTTTTGCCCTTTTTGCCACTTTTATTAGTGTTGCTTGCCAAAGCAAGCATCACCATTAGTATTTGAATGAACTCTTAACCCGAAGAATTAAACTTTAGCACACACTGTTTTCATTACAGATGTTTACCCTGTTTATACAGAACCTTTAGGCAAAATATTTTATATATACATATATAATATATATATATATATATATATATTGTCTAAAGGTTCAATTAACTTTTCCATTTAAAAAAAATCTGACTATTATTTCATATTTCAGGCTTTATATATACACTGTATATATATATTTATACAGTGTATATATATATATATATACACATATATATACATATATATATATATATATATATATATATATATATATTAGGGATGCACCGATACCTGTATTTTCATTGCATTTTTAATTTTTTTAAATATTGGGCAGATAAACGAAAAGAATATGAATCAAATTAGTGCTTAGCAAATAGATATTTCCTTCTGTTGTTTTTTTTTTTCATTTCTAATTATGCTTGTTAAAATGTATTGTAGGAGCTACTTTTACTTTCACTGTTCAGATTACTGCTCTATCATATTTTTTTTTTAATTTAATAGCACAGTGAACTTTTCGAGCTGTTCCAGCAGGGCTCAGCCAGTCAAGGGCAGTGAATGATTTTTGTCTTACCATTGTCTTTTGTTGTTAGATTAAACATTGAGGACAGAGACAGCAATAGGTTTATTCGGCTGCTGTCACTTTAAGAGCTGCATGTATCCAACATACTGTTACACACGCGTTTTCTTCGTACACAGACAACTTCTTGAAAACTTTAATTACTGTACCGCCTTCCTGTAATAAAGCAAGGAACCATCATTAACAGTTCATGTTTTTACTTGCACATACGATTTATTTTAATTCATATGACGCATGTGTGCTGAGTGAATGATCAGCAATCAAGAGAATGCAATAGATATGCAATAGAGGGAAAAAACAACTCGATTTTATTCAGAGGCCCAAAGTGAGAAAAAAATGCAATTTGGTGCAGATGTTGTTAAAGAGAAATAATGCATATAAATATCAGTTGTCACTCTATATCTCCCAAAATATGTCTTAAGATTATATTGAAATGCTTCATCAAAGCTCTGTAGTTTTAATTGTGGGGGCCAAAACATATAATGCAATGCAATACAATGATGATTTACAGATGTACATACAAATGTTCCTCAAAAGCCTGATGTATCATATTTGATACTTATCTATGAATACTTAGGTAGACCTTAGTTGCTTCAGTCCAGAAAGTGTTCATCTTGAAATATCACTAACAATATAAAAGGTATTCATAAGTTTATAAAAAATCTTTAAAGACCTTTTACTCATTAAAGGCCTTTTACTTGCTAAAAAAAATAATTGTCAATCAAAGGGCAGAAGGCTTGTAGAAGATTACAACAGGTGTTTTATCAAAGTTTTGATCATGTTGATAATTTAGAGGAAATTGTTTCAAAACTGATACAGTGGGCTTTGTAGGGATAATCATATCTCAAATCATGCAGCTTTTTATAGAGATATGTGCTATGGCTTTTTAAGTGATCAGACTTGCGTTTTTCATCTTGCTGATGATAAAACGAGTGAAAAAAAATCCTATCTAGGGACCAGAGTGTCAGTATGCAACCACATAGCATGTGTTAAAAAGAAAAACCCAGAATGTTTTAGTAACCACATAACAACATTATAGCATCTTTTACAGGGCCAATGATACTAAACCTGTAACCTGTTCTTTAATGTAGTTTGGGTCATATTTGTTTACCCTTCATATTTTACCATAGCTAATTTGGCTAGTTTCTAAGAGGTGAAGATTGACTGGACACAACGCCAATTTTCCTATCCTAAATATAGGCTACTATTATATGGCTAGCTGCGTTTTGTTATTTGCATTTAGCGTTGTTTTCTCCTCTCCCGTCCGCAACCTTATCAAAAGAGACTGCCGCCCCATTAGTTGAAAGCTTGCTGTTTTTCTTACATGCACCATTAAATGACCAGGGAAATGTGCTAAAGCAAAGTCTACAATATAAAATGTAGAAAGAACAACATCGACAGGCAAATAGAGAGGCTGCCAGGAAATAAGCTCAATTGGAACGTGATTGTCATAGCGAGGCTTAATCTCATTCCCTGCATTTCAACGATCTCTTTCACGATTGCTCAGCTGCTGCAAGCTTTGACACGCCATTCATCCCGCTTCCCTTTCTCTCCCTCTCTCTCTTTGTACAATCGTCCCTGTTTTTTCTGTAATAGTAGATTTAGCATTTATTTGACATGCGGCACTTTGTGCGTTTGTTCAGAGACAATGTTTAAGGCAACAAAGACATGTTGTTTATTGCGGCGCGCTGAGGGGATTTGGTTCTGAGGTTCGCTTTCTTCCTAAATCCGTCCTCGGAGAGAGAGAGCGTATAATCCTTAGTTGTCTCCGATGTCAAAATGTGGAGTGATGAGAGAAGTAGGATATGACAGATATTCCATTATTGTGTGTGTGTGTGAAGATGATGAGAGGAATATCAATTCGTGAGGATTTGACAGCGTACTGTACCACTTTTGATGCCACAATGCATTGTGTTTACTAAACAGGAAAGTCAAAGCAGAACATTAGAATGAGCCGTTTCATACCTTGTCAAATAAGAATGCTGTTATAAAACCCTGTTCCATTCTTTTTGCCTCATAGATGCAGATTTATTTCTACAATTCAGATGACTTTGACAGTCTGAGCACTGCGATAAAGGAGAGACGAATCATCGCCGCCATGGCTGTCTTCTTTCAGGTGAAGATCTTCTTTGATTTTTTTTGCAATTTTCGAATGTTTACCAGCCTGTAAAATGGAGCTTTATAGCTCATGATACCTTCTCAAAGAGAGAAAGAGACTAAAATTGGTTTGGGCCTATGTAGCCTCAGGGCCTATTTTCACCGTTAGCAACAGGTTGAAGAAAGCACAGACATTCTCTGCTGCCCTCTAGCCATCTTTCTCTCTCTCTTTTCTCACAGGAAAGTCTAGCTTCATGATAGAATAAACTTGCACCTTGCTTTAGTTTCTAAAAGAATAATGACAGTCTAAGACAGTCTAAGGCATTGCAATAGGATATACATCAAATAAGTAGGACTAAACTTCTTCAGAAGTGGAGCTGTGAGACTAAGCGACTAGCACAAAAGTGGCCTACAAACCTTGTCTTTACAAAGGTCCATGCAGTCTTTCATCCATTATGTCAGCACTGTCTGTACTTTCTTCTGCACTGGAAGCTCCTGTCACCAAGACAAATTCCTTGTGTGTGTTAACATACTTTGCAATAAAGCTCTTTCTAATTCTCATAAACCATTATATGACAACCAAGAGGTCAATATTTGGCTGGTTAGCATGGCCTCCTCTAGTTAGCCATATATTCTGATGAGAAGTATTTGATTAAAGTCCCCATGTGGTGAAAATCAAGCTTTTAATTTTGTTTATGTCTATGTGGTGTTTTTAATATGGTTTAAGACAAACCATGGTCAAATTCATAAGTCAACAGCATTGCTGAGTATTTTCTCCTTAAAATGGCAGTGAACCAAAGACAGTCTCAAACAAACGCGGTTTGAAATCGCTGGTGTTTCTGACGTCACAAACTACCTTGTAACCAATCACGTCAATTTGTGATCGTCAACGAGTGGATATCTGAGCTGGTGTGAGTGGAGGCGGGGCTGATTTGCATATTCATAGAACCGCGTATACTAAATGAGCCAAGGGTGTAGAGTTACATTACATCTATTTAAAGGCTTGCTTAAATCAAGAAACAAATTCTATGTAATTTTTGATAATCAAAGATGAGTTTTAACGGATACAATTATTGACTACAGGGGGATTTTTTTAATTTAGTATATAAGTGAAATTATTGTGCTTTATTCTGCGGATTTTCCAGAAAAATCTGCATAATTCGTGTTTTCTGCACTGATTCCATCTGGACCTGCATAACGAGACATATATCCATCTAGAAAAGTAGTCCGATTACTAAAAGGATGATTTATACAACTTTACAGCTCAAATAACAAATTTTGTTTAAACTGCCATTCAAGATTTGGAGGTTTGTAAGATTTGTTTTTTAATTGAAACCGTGATACATTTTTTTTAAAGTTGAAAGTTGAAAATAACAGCATTTATTTGAAGTAGAAATCTTTTATAACATTATAAATGTCTTTAAGGTCACTTTTGATCAATTTAATGCAAATAAAAAATAGTAATTTCTGTCAAAGAAAAGTCTTACTGACTTTTGAACGGTAGTGTAGAAGAATTAATTTAAGTGCTTTAATACAAATACAAGCTTACTTTTATTTTTTTTTATTTTTTTTTTACAAACAGGGACGAGTCGTAGGAAGTGACATCACAGAGCAAAAACACATACAATAGAGCTCTTACCAGCACCGTGTCTCCTATATTGGTTTATTTGTACTTTTTCTTCTCTTTCAACTGTGACGAATGTTCTTATCGAGGGTGAAAATGGCACAAATTTCACGGTTTTCCTAATGAGTTAAGCCAAAAAAGAAGAAGATTTGTGGTGCCATAGCCTTAGTATTCAGGGATGTCATATGAATATATAGAGAAAAACAGGCTTAGCAGGTCAGCGAGAGGATCCGTGAAAATAACATAAGCTTTTTTGCCACGCAGCGCCACATTCATTCCCCCTTCATTCACTAACATGCTTCGCACACTCTCATACAGTACGTTTTCACACACCTTAACTAATGTGACAGACCTATTCTTCACGCTGAAAGTAGAACGCAGGTGTGTCCTATGTTTATCCGTTGCCAAACGGTGAAAGAATAACCTACGTCGATGGACTTAAACATCTTCGCCCACATGTGACAGCGTTATGGCTTACCGCTATTAGTGCTTAGACGAATGGTGTCATATGGAGTGTGACATGTCCGTTCCTGGGGGTTTTATATAGTTAATCGATGTGGAGCTCCCGTATTGGTGGTTCCCTTGGGCTCTTTTATTCCCACCTAGTTCAACCAAATGAATCCTCAGAGAGCACAAGTGAGTATATTTCATCTCTGACCTGAATGAGCTTCTCCATCAACCTGAATAAAAGGTGCTTATGTCAGCATGCTCTAGTTTTTAATGTTGCATAAGCGGCGAACACAGGAAACTTGTGTTCGATAATAGTAGGATTTAAACGCACCCCGTCTTTTTTGTGTTTCTTGAACATAGAGAGGGAAACGGAATAATCGCTAATTTCATGTTGCGTTTGTCTGTTTCTCATAGGTGTCGAAGAAAGACAACATTGCAGCTGAGCCCATCATCTCAGGTCTTAAACGAGTGGTCCATCACGGTAAATGTAACCCTATGAACAGCTTGCAGAGTGCACACCTATAATAAAATAAAAATAAATTATACAAATTGAGCACTTTAGCTTCAGCGAAAAACATGGTTTTTATCAATAACCTTTTTCCGCTGTATATACAGTTCTTGTGTTGGTTGTATGGCTCTTTGGAGATTAAAATTTGTCATATTGTTGGATTATAGCTTCTTCAGAACAACATATTGGTTCTAATAGAGCAAATTAAGATTAATAGAGACATTTTTTTTAGGTTATTTGATCTTGGTGTTCATATCATGAGAAATTTAGAATGATCTTTTCAGGATCAAGGATACAGTTCAAGAGAAGTGTGCTATGAAAACACTACCGTTCAAAAGTTTGGGGTCGGTTTGTAAAAAGAAGTGTCTTATGCTCATTTATTTGCTCAAAAATACAGTAAAACAGTAATATTGTGACATTTTATTACAATTTAAAACAGCTGTTGTCTATTTTTAAATTTATATTTAAAATTTAATTTATTCCTGTGATGGCAAAACTGAATTTTCAGCATCATTACCCTTGTCTTCGGTGTGTTTACTAAAGAAAAGTATGAAAAAAATGTAAACAAAATCTTACTGACCCCAAACTTTTGAATGGTAGTGTACCTGAAAATACTATAAAAACTCCCTCCCAGGTCCTATAAGTTTAACACACATTCACATCTGTTTGTCAGAAACTTGGCCCTGCCAGTTACGATGGAAATAAAGAGAAAGCTGAACAGACGTTATTATTTCTAAATACCAGAAGAATTAACAATAAGATAATAAAATATCCACTAAAACTTGTGTGTACATACCGCATCATCTTTTTGCCTCATAGTACTTCAATTTAGGTTTCATGAGACTCGTTTAGTCTTTGAGCGAGTATTCTGTGTCTTTTATTAAACAGAGAAGGAAACAAACCTTGGTTCGTTCATACTGAAGGATCTACTGCCATCATCCTTGGGAAGTTATTACCGCTACACTGGCTCGCTCACTACACCTCCCTGCAGTAAGTTCGTGGAGTGGATCATCTTCAGTCGGCCTGTTCACCTGTCCTACCACCAGGTTGGCGAACACACACACACATAATCATGCATACATGCACATCACATTCATTTGATCATGTATCACATCCAGCTGTGTGCACTATGCTTGAAATTGGCTCGGGTTTTTTCTCCTGTATCATATTTGTACCATCTGCAAGCATGTACACAAACACGAATAGACAATATTACACTAGCAATGTGTCTCATCTGCTGTGCGTTCAAATGTTTCTGGAAATGAGACGGTGCAGAAGATTTACTAAACAAATGTATGCATTCATCTATGTATATATGTGTTGTAGATATAAAGCACATTACACTGTATAAATGGAAATCTTCACCAGTAATAGTGCTTTTTCAAAATGGATTTCTATTCTATTCTATTGCAAAGTATATCTGTGACCATACCTGTATCTACATTAGCCAATATTATTGTTATTTGTTTGTAATAATAAAAAATAGTTATATTATTAGTCTTAATAATAATTGTACTACTAATAATAATTATAATATTATTTATTTATTTTTATAAAGTTTTTTTTTTTACTTTGTTGAATGATTAGCCTGGGAAAACCCAGACAATTTCCGGCAAATTTAGACTTGCTCTGAAAGTTAGTCTGGCAAAGAGCTCATTCAAACTCATTTCCAATCCGTCGAAATCGCGGCACCAATCAGAAACGTTGGGGCGGGCTTTACACGATGACGACAGCGCTGGGATTTTGAAGCAGATTTTGTAGCCTACATTACAAAGATGGATGCCACCGTCGAACATCACTCGTTCGAATCAGCTATCGCGTCTGTTTTAAGCGATTTGAACGTTTCCTTTTAGTTAAAAACCGAGCAAAGAACAACACTCAGAGATGTTTCTCCGCCGCTCTGCATACGTCATCTCCTTCATCGCTCTGATTGGGTTTAGGTCTATCCGCGACGTCCGTTGGTGACGCCCCTCTGGAAATGATTTGTCTATGACGCTTTGCCAGACCATAACTCAGTTACAACTGAGAATGGTCTGGTTTTAACCACGCTATTGAATGATAATATGACTGACAAAATCCTCTTAAAGGTGCAGCAAGCGATTTCTGAGAAACACTGTTGATATTTAAAATCAGCCCAAACAAACACACCCCTCTCTTCATTACTCCGCCCACAAAATATACGAGCAAGCAATACGATAGTGGATGTCTCTGTATCATAGCTGTAGCAAAGGAAAATAATGCTTCGCGAAAAATAAAGTGAAGATGACTAACGAACTACAAGGAAGAACAAAAAAGAATATATAGTACACAAGATATATATACAATCAAGAGTTCGTTGATAGTTGCCAGCAGCACAGAAGCTCCAGACAAACAATGACACTAAAAACTGACCTGTTACTTTAGCTAACATTACAACAACAGCATATCTTGGTTCTGTGAAACAGCAAAACCAGTGTTACTCGCGTATGGAGCAGAAACAACACAACCTCGGCATCTGTTTTCAGGCCTTCCTGCTTATGTCTCTCCAGCACTGGAAAGCTTGTCTAATATAAACGCGGGTCCTAAAGCTCTTGCCTGATTATAACGCTTTTTTCCCAGAGATATTCCTCTGACTTTTTCTCTTTTGTAATGTCTCTCAGCCATCTCTCTTTCTACAGTCTGTCTTTAAATCTCCCTCTCTCTCCTCCCCCAACATGAGTGGACACGCCCCCTTCTGCTGATTGGCTACAAGTGTGTTGTTGTTGTGCTCGGTCCGATCCACTTTCAACAGCGTTTCTCAGAAATTCCTTACTGCACTTTTAAACACTTCTAGGCCCTAGCAAGCCTCCAAAACACCCTAGCAACCACTTAGCTACGCTCTAAAAAAATCATTGTAAAAGTGTATAAAGATTTAAAGATTTTTATATTGATGAATGACTGATTGGTTCACTCCCAATTCTTGCTCTGGTTATGCACACAGCTTTTAAAGGATATCATGGGTTCAATTATCCTTTTTTGCTTCCTGCTTTATTCAGCATCACACAGAGTAAAGCCACTAAATCATACACAGCATGCACTTATCTATCTCCTTTCTACACCTTCTTGGCCAAAATAAATTGACTTTATATATTCCCTTGCTGGAAATGATTAAATGAAATGGAAAAATCACATTTAAACTTTTGGATATATTTTTCTTTCTTTCTCTTTCTGCCTTTCTCTTGATGTAGCTAGAGGCGTTCTACTCCATCTTCACCACAGAGCAGCAGGATCATGTGAAGTCCGTGGATTACCTGAGGAATAACCATCGGCCCACTCAAGACCTCGACAGCCGTCACATCTTCAAATCAGCTCTGATGGATGCTTGGATGCCCGACGTCATGACAGACAGCATGGCCAGTGCTGCAGACACAGAATCCTCACGAGGTATAATGCCTTTCTTCCCAAAATCGGCCTGACCAATCAAGGAGGAAGACACTTTAATTTTATTTTTTTCTATGTTAATTCTAACCATTATATGGTAAGAGAATCCTATCATTAGGAAATACAGTAGTGAATTTGCTTTATTTATAACAATGTCCATGATCATTTCAGCAAAGTCTTTATGAATGTAACATCAGTACATTTCCAACTGGGACTGTGATTATTCAGTTCAGTTTTTTCTTCATAGACGTCATGTTTGGGTTTCTTCTCATTCATCTCATGCATAAAGTGCAAAGCTAGTTGTTTTTAGGATATCCATTGCTCTTGAGACAGACTGAATAAATAGGATTTATTAATGCAGTGACTACAGCAGTGCAGCGCTCTGAGCCAAGCCCAGTAACTGGGGGACGGTGTACTGTGTGCGTTAATGATAGCGTTGTTTTCCTCTCCGGCTGAGGGAATTGATTGCTATTGGTTGTGATGAAGTCTGGAGTGATGCAACACAGCCGAAAGGCGGAATAATCGTCATTAATATTCTCTCTAAAAATAAACCCGTACAAATGAACACTGTGTGGCCAAATAGCAATTCTGGTGTTTTCGAAGCAAACACTTTTGAAAACCCTTTGCAATCATTGTTTTTTTTTTTTTAAGTAAAAAAAAAAAAATGCTTTCCTTTGTGGCACTTTCCTTACACTTTAGTTAATCATATATATATTTACACACAGTGTATATACATAGTGCCCTCCACTAATATTGGCACCTTTGGTAAATATGAGCAAAGGTGGCTGTGAAAATAATTCTGCATTGTTTATCCTTTTGATCTTATATATAAATATATATTTATATATATATACACATGCATACATATATATGTATAAATAATTAAAAAAAAATTATACATATATCAGAGTTTCCGCTAGAGAAAAAATGGTGCCGGTCAAAGTGACCTGCAGAGTTTTCATTTTACGGACATTTTGATGATATGCCGGTCAAATATCGCCTCTTAATTAGTCAAGTTGAGGAAAACTGGAGGCAGGCTATGTAACTTAAAAAATGACATAATCAGGCCGTATTGAACGCAACATGTTTATTAGCCTAACTTTAACCTCTAACGGGAAAAAAAAACATGAACGTCCGATTGGCGTCAATCAACGGCAATTGTTTTTACTATGGTTTCACATTCATAGTTCAACAAACCAATCCCCCGTCCCCACATAAAATATCTGAATAGTAGCCTATTGTTTTTACTCAAGCAAACTTAATTATACACTCTCAGTATGTCTCATTTAGCTGGTAACATTTAAATTGGCCACCGTGAAATGACTCCTTGTCAAATGAACTGGAACAAACAAATGACTAGGCCTATAACATTGTCTCACGTCATTTTAGGCAACTTTTTACGCTGTTTTGCAGCGCTGAATTGTGCAGCTGCCGAGTTAAAATCAAAACTTTCCAGTGTCTCTCCACAACTTGCAATGCGCATAAGCCGCGTAAGGGCCTGTTCACATATCACGTCTTTTGCGCGCTCAAGTTCGTTATTTCAAGTTCGTTATCGCTCAAGGTCGCGGTGCAACGCGCTCGTTTTTCCAAGCGCGTCCGCGCCGCATCGAGATAAAAACATCTCGGTGTGGATTGAGGTAGGGCTGCTATATTTATTAAACGAAAATCTTAGTCTAACGGGAAAAAAATGCCGTTTTTTTTAAAGCTTCGTTCAAACGGATTCAGTGTTTTCTTTTTGTCATCTTAATTTGTTAATTATTTAAGTTAAAAAATATATATTTAGTGTTGGCCAATTTTATGGGGTTTTTTTGTATTATTTTATTCTGTTTTTCTCTGTTTTCACTGTCAGAAATACAGCAGGTAAGTGAAAATTTGATCTGAATCCAGGTTCTGTTGTTGATCTGTTCTGTATGCTGCTGTTTGCACTTTGCACGTTAAAATAAACCCTTTGATAAATAAAATAAAAAATGTTTGAAATGAGCATCCCTAGGCTACTGGATACATTTCGTTGAAATCACATATGAGGACTTCACAGGCTGTGGAGAAATGCAATCCTCCATAGCCACGGAGCGCTGTCATGACAGCGAGGGCATCACGTCGCAGGCTTACGGCATCGATAAGAGGAGCGGTGTCCGCAGACTCAATGCTTGTAAAATGGCAAATAATCCTTCTGATTCAGTGTATTTTTGCTTTATACATTTTAGGCTTATTCTCAAATTCAGATTGTGTTAGGGGGGCGGGATTATTAGGCCATTTTAATCGGACAATTTGACCGGAGAGATTTAATTTTGTCGGACATTTAATTTTTTTCCCGGCCAATGTCCTGTAATTACCGGACAACGGAAACCCTATATATATATATATATATATATATATATATATATATATATATACAGTTCATTCTCTAGTCGTTGAACATCGGTTGTACACTCGTTATTGCAGTGCATGGTGGGTTTGAATGAATGCACACAATATCATCAACTATGGTTTGGAGAAAGGAAACAAGGCAAGCACAGGATCTAAATACCGGTACATGAAGTCAACAAGTAAAACATAGGAACCAGAATACACTTCATACTAAGAGTCAATTGTTTAATTGATTTAATTAACCCACGACAGGGATTTAAAAAGTTGCATGAAAGCGACAATGGATAACTTGATAACTCTTGAAAATAAAAAAAAAGCAAATCATAAAGATTTGTACATTTCTGGATAAAGAATAAATGATTAGTTCATTCTTAAACTTTCAAGTCCTATTATATACCCTAATTGTGGAAATTGCTATGTACTATACGTACCTGTGAAGCACACAGCGTTATTGTCCCTCAGCACATCCAGTGCTGACATCTTAGCTTGTTTACTACATAACCCAAAAAACCGCCATGAGAATAGAGTCAATTTGAATCATCAAACTCAGCGTTATCTCTGCCGGACAGTAATGGCGGCAGTCATTAGCATCCTGATGATTGAACTGATGAAAATAATGGGCTCTCGCTGAGTCACCCGTGCTAACAGAGCTCTCGAGGCCGACTTCCACAGCAGATGCCCTTTCACTAATCACCCCCTCGTCCTCGTTTCACTTCTTGTGTTCTTGCGATCTGCCTCTCGTTTCACAGACATGTTTATCACAGGCTTGTTGACAGGCCGCTAATGCTGATATACACACATTAAGAGTAGAGGCTTTTGGCATAATGACCTTATCAAGCGCCACTTATGCGGTCCGCCCAACTTGACAAGAACACATCCCACCAAATGATTTGTGTGATAAGTGACGTCAATTGTGCAAATTACATCTGTTCGTCTTTTCAGTGGCTCTGTAGTCATAATTAAAAACACTTTTACTTTTTATTTTTTACTTTTACTCAGGTTAAAAGGGTATGAATTTAATAGGAAAAACATAAAGTTAAATCCATGCAGCAGTTAATGCATGCACTCTTGGTGACATTGAGCTGCTCATGTGGTTCAGATCTGACCTGCAAAATTTCTAATATTATCTGATTGGTCGTGATTGTCGCATCACACAGCAGATTCAGATTTTCTGAGGATGAATAGCTAAATACCTGCTAGAAAGCCTGGTTAGGGTAGATTTGATTAGGATTTTTTTTTTTTGCTGCAAAACAAACCTAGAGTTCATGTTTGTAATGGCTGTGACATCAAAAAAGCTCCAACAATGAGGTCACTGTAATCAGGATTTTTTTTCTGAAAAAAATAGCAACATGGTGAGACATGTTTTTGTGTGCATGATAACGCTCTTAAAAGCACTTCCTAACCCGACACAACACGATAAGATTACAGCGACAAGCAATTTGTCTGTCCACACCAGATGCGACATGACAGAATCAAAATCACAGCCAATCAGAAGAGCGTGTGGGCGGAGCCTCTCTGCAAGCGCACGGCACTCGCAATGAAACTGCTAAGGACATAATAAAATATTACACCATTTTAACATTATTAAAAACACACTGTGTTGACAGTATGAATGTTCTTGTTTCCTTTATTTTCAAGATCTGAGGTGAGTTATCCATTGTCGCTTTCAGTACTGATATGTTGAAATGATATTCAAACACACATTAGACTTAAGTCTGCTACAATATGTGTATATTATATTCATTTGAAGGCTTTTCTTTGCAAATATTGTTAGTGTATGCGGTTAATTAATTGTGATTTATTTGATTAAATTCCTTACACGATATGCAGATTAATGAACTTTTTATATCATACGTGAGTACATGTAAATGTAAACACTTTTGTGCATTTATTTCAAGTAGAATTTTAAAAGCAGCACTTTTACACTTCCGTTTAAAAGTTTGAAAACAAAATTATTGCTTTTATTCAGCAAGGATGCCATCAAAAGTGACAGTAACAACAACGTAACAAAAGATTTCTATTTCAAATAAATGCTGTTTATTTGAACTTTCTGTTCATTAAAGAATCCTGAAAATAATGTATTACAGTTTCCACGAAAATATTAAGCAGCAAAAAATGTTCAATAATAATAAGAAATGTTTCTTGCGCACCAGTTCAGCAAATTAGAATGATTTCTGAAGGATAATGTGACATTGAAGACTTGCCATCACAGGAATAAATTACATTATATTAAAATAGATAACAATTATTTTAAATTGTAATAATATTTCACAATAATACTGTTTTTACTGCATTTTTCATCAAATAATTCTGCCGTTGTAAGCATAAGAGACTTCCTGCAAAAATATGACCAATTTTTCCAACCCCAAACTTTTAAAAGGTAGTGTATTTTTACTGCAGTAATATTTCATCAGTACATCCGCATTTTAACTAGCATGTACTTCATCCACCACTGGGTATAGTAGTGCACACGGCCACAGCCAGGCAAGGCTGTTTGAAAAGCCTGGAGGCAGATTGAGATGAACTCATGTATTATTTTCCACTTTGAAGCAGTTTCTAGTGAGAACGCTTTGGTGACTCAGACAGCAATAAAAGATTTATTTTCACCTGGGGGCTGCAGTCGTGGACCTGCACGGCAGAGATCTGGCTCCGCTCCCGTAATTCCACCTGTTTATCTCCAATCACACATCCCTAATCAAATGAGAACAACTGTACCTTCTTCCTCCTTGTTTTTATCAGTCTTATCTCATTGCTCTGCTTCTCCTCTCTCTATCCAGTTTGCAGCAGCATCCCTGACAACATGAAGGTTCATCCACTGAACAGAACTGCACTTGTGTTGACCTGGGACAGACCGTCAGCTGTCTACCACCCGCCTATACTGGACTTCCTTGTCTCCTACAGCTGGGTTAAGGATGAAATGCCTTTTGAGAAGACCTTCACGCAGAGCAGTGAACACAGCACGGTAAGCTTCCCAACAATGAAAGGGCAAGCAGTTTGATCATTACAGAAGATCACATTCATTGTGTCAACCACCGCAAACCTTTAGCTCAACCGGTTATCCAATCACTGTGTTGAGGTTACATTTGACTAAAGATGTAAGTGACGCACACACAACTAGACCTTCAACCTTTTTCACCTTTTGGTCGATAGAGAGAAGAAGCCCCTGTTGATTAATATATAATCTTGAGTGTTAAATAACATGCATATAGTCCATATTAATGTTATGCAATACTGTTCAAAAGTTGGAGGTCAGTAAGATATTTTTTTCATTGATCAATTAAATTGATCAGTAGTGACAGTAAAGACTTTTATTATATTACAAAATATTTCTATTTAAAATAAATGCTGTTCTTTTGAACTTTCTATACATCAAATAATCCTGTAAAAAAATGTATCATAGTTTCCAGAAAAGAAAAATATTAAACTGTTTTGCACATTGATGATAATAATAATAAAAAGAAATATTTCTTGAGCACCAAATCTGTTTATTAGAATGATTTCTGAAGAATCATGTGACACTGAAGACTGGCTGCTGAAAATGTTCCCATCACTGGAATAAATTACATTTTAAAATATATTAAAATAGGAAGCAATTATTTTGAAGTAATCTTTAATTAATTTTTATATCAAATATATACAGCCTTGGTGAGCATAGACTTTTTTTTTTCAAAAACATTTAAAAAATGGTGATATCATTATTGATAATTATTATTAAAATGGTTATACATTTTAAGTATATGATGCATTTTATTTACTATATTTTAATGTGGGATTAACAATGAGTTCTTTGACTAAAGTCTTTAGTTTTAGTTGAAATTAGCGGCATATTTTGTTTGTTTCATGCATATATGTATTGGCTTCCCAAATAAGTTAAAATAATAATTGCAGTACCATTATGGACCCCTTAGGGGGATCATAGACCCCCTGCTGAAGATTCATGAGCTAGACAGAAAGCAATGTAATGGAACACCTCTGTCACTACATCTCCAGGATCTCGAGATGTGTTGTAGTGCCCAGACTTGTCGGCAGTTATCTACAACGAAAAAGATTAATAAGAGTTAAGACCAGGGTTATAGCAGTTAAATCAATGTTTATATGTTGAATAAAAGCCTAAATTCAGTCTGTTCATCATATAAAGCGATCATGTCTCTTCAGAAAATTTGGACTAAACCGCTTTATTCATATGGATCTCTTTATGAACTTTTTGAAGCATCAAAATGGTTGTTACGTAGCTGTCAATGGAGGGACAGAAAGCTCTGATTTCATCAAAAAGATCTTCATTTGTGTTCCAAAGATGAACAAAAGTCTTACGGGTTTGGAACGTCATGAGGATGAGTAATTAACGTCAGAATTTTCTTTTTTGGGTGAACTACAGTATCCCTTTAATGTTTGAACTTTATATTAGTTAGGCTAGCCTAGTATTAGTTTTTGCTATGATCTGACCAGGCCAGAAGAAAAAATCCTTAGTGTTGAGCCCCGAGTCCATATTTTTGTTTTTTAGTTAGTTAACAGTAATACTTGTTAATAATAATGATATGATGACAATTTTCTGTTAGTCAAAGAGTAGCCTAAACATGTACCGATTTGAACTGTACTGCAGAAAGACTGGTTTTTGTATAGACTTTTACTTTTGAGTCACTATATAGTAATATAGTGGTGCCAATATACAAAGTAGCACCATTTAGGCAATGGTCTCTTGCTACACATTCTCACTAAGCCCCCCTGAACATCAAATCCTAGAATTGCCCCCGATTAAGACACTATTGCAGACAGTGGCTCCTGGGCAGGGGGCCCGATTGGCGTGATGTGCCAGTTCAGTTAATTGGAAAAAATGTATATGTATATTTGTGTAATTTCACCCTTGATACAAAAATTAAAGCATGATGTCACTGCCTGTAGACAGGGTCTTGTCTTCTGGTTCCCAGCATAATTCTGATGGATGGGCTGCTCTCATCGATTTGATGGACTTGGACAGTATTTTGTCTTTTTTCCCTCAAGTCTAATGAATGACTTACACCCATGTCTGTCAGTCACCTTATTGGAGCAGCCTTACACACACAGTTTGCATGACAACAAGACAGTGTCCAGCCAGTTGAAGGATTTTTTTCTGATGAGTGCTGTCAGTCTTTTTTAGCCTTGGTCAAATAAGATTTGGATTTAGTTAAGGGATATAACTGCCACGGTTAAAGTCCAATTACTTTCTTTCACTCTACATACCATCATGACTCCCTCATCTTTTTGCCTCAACATTTACATTTTTATTTCAATTTTGAGCCCAGCACAGCACAGGTTGTGCCAGCGAATCTAGACCAACTTTGGGTATATGAAATTCAAATGAATATCTATCTATTTCTGGGAGACTGTGGATGTCTGAAAGATGGAGCAGGACATTGGAATAAATAAGTGTCAATTTATACAAATAATACCGGTAATGGCAAATGTTTAATTTGCTTTGACATTTCGGTTTTGGAAAATAACATCCTGTCGTATTTACTGTGTTGTGTAATGAGGTTTTTGGATTTGTGTGTAGTTGTTGAAGGGACACTCTGGTTGTGTCCAACATTCATGCTTAAATTAGAATTAATTGTGTTCAGTTGAAGACAGCTTGAAATCAATATTGAACGTTTGTGGGTTTTAATCTGTGTCTGTTGGTTTTGAGGCCATCTATATAAGATTGTAAAACTAAGTTGACTTTTAGCGGCTATACACATAGAATTTTGTTTTTGGAGCTAGACAATTTTTGTTCAATTTAATGCTCTCAAAAGCTGATTAATATATTAGATACATGATACTTTTTTGATGAATAGAAAGTTTAAAAGCATTTATTTGAAATAGAAATATTTTGTAACTATTTAAAATGTCACTTTTAATCAATTTAATGCATACAAATTTCTTCAAAAAAAATTTGAAATGTTTATCTGGGTATTTCATTCATATCTGCACACATTATATATACTGCAAAGGTTGTATGAGTAGAAGGAGATTCTGAGCGATCCAATTTCTTTCCAATAATCTATGAGTTGTACTGTTATTAAAATGTATGGTGTGTCGTATGTCTCCTGCAGAGGGCAGTCATCGCACTTGTGTCTCCAGATGTCCTGTATCTCTTCAGAGTGCAAGCTGTATGTCAAAGAGATCAGCGCAGTGATTTCAGCCAAACACTTTTATTCAAAGGTTTGTCTGATTTTATGTGGCTTTCTGTTCTTAAAAATAAAAATGATCAATTACTGCTGCTAACCAAGCCTTAAAGTCGGCATGAAACGTTGTGTTACATATATCCGAGTGAAACGGCTTCTCGATCTAGACAAAAATGTAGGGAAGGACTTCATTTTGTCCAGCCATCGGGAATAGATAAGACAGTTATGGTTTGCTATTGGTCGATCTCATGTGAGTGACAGGTTGCCCCGCCCTCTGGCCAGTAAACGCGTCGTCAGAGAAAAGAAGAGTTGTCGCTACAAGAGGAGGGGACGTTATTTATCTGATTAAAGATTAAGATTATTTTAAAAGAATAAGGCTACGTCTACATTAATCCGGATACATTAGAAAAGGGCATTTTCATTTCAAACCGCTCTCCGTCCACACTAACGTTTCCAAGCGTTTTTCAATCCACAGTTTCTTATCCACATTGAAAAGTCGGAAACCGCTAAATTCACCTTACTGCGCATGTGTAAATCCTCATAAAAGCTCACTGAGATGATACAGATGGAACAGACATAATAAAGTTCTCATGCTATTCTTCTGGCAGGATCAATTTCAAATTTATCCACTTGGGAAAGCGTTTTCAAAAAGCTTAGTTTTCACAGGACAAAAATGCTGTCTCAGTGTGGACGAAAGGCCAAAACAGAAATAGATGCTTTTTTAAATGAAAAGGCCTAATGATGTGCACAGATAAATAGTTTATAATAAATACTGCACTATTCCTTAAACAAACAAACAAGAATTGTCCATTTTGATTTCATGTCAACTCTAATATTGATTGTCACACTGTGTGATTTATTCTTCAAGCAAACACCACAAGGATATTTGAGGGGACAAGGATTGTGAAAACCGGAATGGTGTGTAACTGGTTTAATCATTTCTAAATCTGTGTTTTTGCTTGTCTACACGCATTGTAATTTTTCTTTTCCTCTTCTGCCCTGATTGTAGCCTACGTTGTCCCCCGCCTCTTCGGCAGACATGGCCCCTATAAGCTCAGGCTCCTCTACCTGGACGTCCGCCGGCCTGCCCTTTTCATTTGTCTCCATGGCAACGGGAATGGGGCCCCCATCCAGCGGAGGACAAGCCACTGTAGCATCTGTGGTGACCAGCACTCTGTTGGCAGGACTGGGCTTCAGTGGCAGTGTGATTTCTTCCCTCCCAGGATCATTTTGGCCAACCCACTCTACAAACTCAGGCCCCACGCCCACTCAGCATCCATCCACTGCTGAAAGCACCCCGTCTGAGAGCAACGTCCTCATCTCGGAGGACAGCACTGAAGCTAACAACAAACAGGAAGAAGACAGTGAAAGAGAGGAGAAGGAGGAAAAAGAGGAAGAGGAGGAGGAAGAGGAACAGGAAGAAGAGGAGAAGAAAAAAAGGGGGAAAGATGCGACAGTCAAGGACAAAAAGCAGGCCAAGACGCTGCCCCAAAAACCAACTGCCCCCATCCCAACTTCGAAACACAGGGAGCGGGAAGGGGAGAGGGCGGATGCTTACACTGAGAACTCTACATCGGCCCCTAGAATAGTGGAAGAGCAGGGACCCCGTTCCACTGAGAGGCCTTCTGGAGAGGGTTCATCAAAACCAACATGGCTGGAGGGTAATGACACTGCAGACATGCAGCTTCCCTCAGGCTCGACTGAGAACACCAAATTCACCAATGAGGAGAAGGCGCACTGGCCATACTACATTCACACTGGTAGGTGAGCTGCAGACTTACAGTCTAAAGCTCTATGCCAAAGATAAAACGGCAATAAAGTACACATGGTCAAAAATACAGTACCTTTTGAAATTAGTAAGTAGTGCCAAATCGTGTCCAAAAACTAAAATGTACATTACCTGAATATATATTATTAAGAGTATATGAATATAAATATATTTAATAGTGCTGTCAAATCGAATAATCACATCTAACATGAAAGTTTTTGTTTATATAATATGTGTGTGTATATATTATTATTTATATATATATATATATATATATATATATATATATATGTCTGTGTGTGCATGTCTGTGTATATATACATACACAGTATAATATATATATATATATATATATGTTTATAAATATATGTGTATATACAGTATATACACACACAGACATATATATAATATATATAAATATAATAATACATACACACACATATATTATGTAAGCAAAAACTTTTGTTAATCATGATTATTCTATTTGACAGCACTAATATTTAATGAGTAAAATATTTATAAATATAAAAATGTAAAATATGTATTATCTGCATGATATATTATCTTATGTGTCTGTATATGTATGTATTATTATACATTATTAAAATGTGTACACAAAATAAATATAATAAAATGTATAACATGCATTAACATATATAAATCTATATTTTTTTATTAATATATATTAGATACACTTCCGTTAAAAAAATTGGGATACAAGTTTAAAAACAAAAGTTTTATTCTGTAAAGACACATTAAACTGACCAAAAGTTGTTACAAAAAATATATTTCAAATAAATATTAAAGAGATGTACTGTGGTTTGCACAAATCTTTTCACAACTTTTTCCAACATTAATAATCATAATAAATGTTTCTTGAGCTCCAAATTAGCATATTCAAATTATTTCTGAAGGATCGTGTGACATTGAAGACTGGAGTAATGATGCTGAAAATTCAGCTTTGCCAACACATGAATTATTTCAAAATATATTAAGAACATTTATTTTAAATTGTAATAATGTTTCACAACATTACTCTATTTACTGTATTTTTTGATCAAATAAATGCAGCCTTTTTAATCAAAGACTTTTTTTTTTTTTAATGATTGCCAACTCCCAACTATTGAACAGTAGTGAATGTAAACATTATAAAATATATAAATATTATATATTAAAAAATAAATGAAATAAAAACTAAAGACTATATATGGATTATTGATATATATATATAATAAATGCTAATTGATATTTGTAATAAACTTTGCAAAGGAAGACGATACGTGTTAAATATGCATGAATTACATTTTTCAAGCATTTATACTAGAATAGACTCTTTCCATCTATTATTGAAGGGTATTCAAAAATATATATTTATATATTTGTTACCTTGCTCTGGTCCCCTTTGACCACCATGCAGAGAGGAACAGCATCTCCACTGTCACCCGAGACCCGGTGTCATCCTCCAGCCGGATGGAGTGGATCATCCCCCTGATGGTGGTCTCTGCCCTCACTCTGCTCTGTCTGATCATGCTGCTGGCTGTCCTGGTCTACTGGAGGTAAGCCATTGAATTAGCCATTGTCCAGCACATTGGTCTTAGATCATCTTGGGCCTTTACTGCATGGGATACATGCATGGGAAAAGATCAGTTCTCTTCATCTGCGTTCCTTAACTTCTACATTTGTCTATCTGATTTTTTTAAGCTTTGGTTTCTTCTGTACGAATGCATCACCTAATTAATATTCATGACAACATGTTTTATGTAGAGTAGATTTGTCTGGTCACGGTTGTGCCTGGTTTGTAAACAGTGTAAGGTCGCTCTGTCCTCTGAATCCGCACTTCATCTAACTCTTTCTACTCCATCTACTGGCCTTTATAACCCTGGCTCAGCTCCCTGGAGAGTCCGTGCCCCATCTGCCCGCCCTCTCCCGGACCGGTCTCAGCCCCATGGTAACCGAATTTTTCAAAAAAAAATCCTCCTATGGAGATTCCTGCCAAATACCACCATCCTCCTTTTCAGTCTTGTATCTGTATGTGAGCTAAGAGGTTGCAGGCCCCCTGGGGACCATGAGTCTTGTGCGGAGGGACCCAGCTGTGCTCCAATCTGTGATGCTGACTGGTTTGAGCATATCATTTAAAATGTGAGCACACAACAGTAACATTACATTAAAAGATAAATATTAAAACATTTTATATTTTAAATGTATGATATCATGACTTTTTTTGTTGTTATATTATTGTACTGCTTGTATGTTATTTTAGTTTAATTGTTATACTATTATAGTATTTATTAATATTTTAAATGAGCTTTTATTTTTTATTTTTTTTCCAGTTTTCATTTTAGTTTTAGTCATTTTAGTTCTTCCAATTCAACCTTTTTCAGTTATTTGCCAAGGCAATATTTGTAATTTTAAGGTTTTTAAGTTTATGTTTTTCATGTTATATTCCTATTTTATTTTATTTTAGCTTCTGAAAAAAAAAAAATTGTAGTCTTGGTACCTCAATTTAATCCTATTTATTTCAGTGTATTTTCAGTTTTAGTAAAAAAAAAGATTTTAGCAGTTTTAGTACTAATCGTATTTATTTCAGTTATTTGGCAAGGCAAGTTTTGAAAGTTTTTCCATCTACTATTCATATTTTATTGTATTTCAGCTTTATTTCGTTTAAGTTAACTATAACAACACTGGTCTTACATGGCCTTTACAAGCACCACAAATGTCAAGAATTTCTGCCTGCAAGTTACTGTACCAAGTGCAAAGCAATTACGTCAGCCAACAAGTCAGGAAAAGATTGAGAGGAAAAGATAATAGCAGTTTGATTTGATCATTTGATTGGTTTATAAGAGGTTGATCAGTGACAGTTAAAGTGAATGAAAGACTGAGTTTGCAAGATAATCTGTTAAGAGAGTGGACGAAAGACAAGTGACAAGACGCAACTGCTCCCCCGAGAATGGGACGGCAAACGTCTTTGTCAAGACTTTATTGTCAAATTTCAAGAACGTCAAGAACAAAGCCACCGAGTGAACAAAAGCCATTCAAAAGATATTCCATTCTCGTTTTTTTATAACTGGAGTTCATGAAAGTTTACCAGAAAGTATGATATTATTTGCTTAAAATGAAGTTATGATGTTGCCAAGGCGATAGGCTAATGAGAGGTTTATGTAGGCAGGGTTCCATCTGGATGGCTCAGAGGCTTTCAGTCTGCTCAGACTCACAGATGCCCATTAAAGACCAAAGATGCTGCACTCATTTCTACACGTACTGTACGCATGCGATCGCCTATGAGTTAGAGCAACTCCAGACTCGACGCAAAGACGCAGATGGGGAATGATAAGAGGTTATATTTATCTTTTTACCATTTGCCTATTTTGCATTCTCAAGGATTAGACCGCAGGGTCCAAAACTTCACTGAAGGACCCTTCTACACCATTAGTCTAAGGCCTCTAAACACGCGAGAGATCGGCCATAAAAAGGTCATTAGTGTGAGGTTCCTGTCCCCCCAGTCATCGTCTCTCCTCAATCCCCCTCCCTCATCGGAGCTCTACGAGCGTTCAACCCCTCTTTTCTTTCTTTTTATCTTACCTCTCAAGGATGACTAGCATCTGCTCATTGCTCTGCTTAAAGTACAGGTAGGGGCATGCTTATACAAATGCTTTACTGGGATTTACATGAAGCAAGTCTTCAATAAGGGAGGGGTTATACCATGTCTTTGTGCACTGAAAGTAAAAAATAAAAAAACGACAGATTTTTAAAAGATTTTTAAAGGCAGAAAGAGTTGTATGTGCAGAGTTTGGCTGGATATTTGGTATCATCGCTTTGATCTTAATGTGTATTATATGAGAACTAGACGTTTGTGTGTAGTGGCTAATGCATTTTAATTATGGAAATGTGCCAATGATAGTCTTTATTATGCATTATGAGTTGGTCTAAGTCAATACAAGTCGGTCGAGCTGATTCAATCATCTGATATTTGGCCTATATTGTGATTTTCTGCATTAGCAGATAACTATAACCACTCGGACAATTAACAGATAAACAGTGTTTATCGACTTCTGTTTTCAAATTCAAATAGTAAATTTATATTAATGCGATTTTGTGAAAATAAGTACTTAATAAATAAAATGTATTAATGTTAATAATAATATAAATAGTCAATTTTGAACAATATATTAAAATATTAAAATCTATAGACAGACTTATACAAGGATTTTCTGTTTTCAAATATTTTTAGAGTGAATTTGAAGTTATTTTGTGAAAATAAATACTTAATGAATAATAATAACAATATAAATAATCAAATGTTTTTGTGTAAGAATATTTGGATTAAGTTGTATTACGTCATGTATATGTACAGTATGTTTAGACAGAATGCTCTGTATACTCATTCTTCTTTTAGTAATGGACTGATATCAGAGTTGTGACTCAAATTTTATTGAACCGAAACACAGGTCAAAACACCCTTTGCTAACAAGATTGAACTGCATGTAAATTGTACTTAGATATTAAGCGAACAGTAATTCTCAGCAAGCAGGAGGCTTCCTCAGAATTAAGAAGCTTTTAAAATAATCATCCCGATTACCTGCTTTCTACTAACCGGGACGTTTTCTGTTCATAGGAGATTCTTCCAGACTGCACATTTCTATATTGACGACAGGAACTCCCCCAGAGTGATCCGCGATGACAGTTTTCCCATCATATCTACAGCGGGTGAGTCACTAAACAAACATAAATGAAAACACGAGGTTTCATAATGCAAGTACTTTTATTTTATGCCATTCATAGAAGTGAATCATTATCGAGCTAAAAAGTGGCTTCAGAATTTGTTGCATATTCAAAATACAGAGTTCTTTTAGTTTTGATTTCATCACATGTAGCCTTTGTGGAGAACGTAATCCCAGAATGGGAGTTGGTTGTCTATTTTGGGAGCAAAGCACCTCACTAGGTAACAGCTATATTCTGGAATAGATCAATAAGACATCAGCAAACATAGCAGCAGAGTGAAATGACGCTTTATAAATATACCTGACCAGCTGACAAATGGTTATTACAGGATGTTGTTTAATGTGCATCATTTATTTATTTATTTTTGTCTCATACACTTTTGTAATTTATGAGACAACGCTTCCCCGCCATTGACGGAAATTTCCAGCTTTCTGTGTTTTCACTGTTATACGTTAGAGGGCGCATCTTCTGACATCCTCTGAAAGATTACTGAAGCCCCTTTCACACAGCGCTTTGAACCCGGCAAATTGCCAGAGTGCCTTCTGTGTGAACGCAAACACAACCCGGGATTGATGCCGGGATCGATGCCGGGTTGGGGACCTAGTAACATTGCTGTATTCAGACCCGGAACACGCGCTGTGTGAACAAAAGCCAGAACCAATGCCGTAAAAGGGGTGTGTCGTAGTGATGATTCACTAACCTTTGCAATGACGTAGTTATCGTGCGACTCAGTTACTCTAGAAGAAAGTTTGTGTTCGTCATCGATACAAGAAAGAACGAAAAAATGTCTGCAAACTGGACTGAAGTAGAGACCCGTCACATCCAACGTCACGCGTCTTTCCGGAACATACACGGGTTGTGTGTGAACGCGCTCTGGTTCCGGCAAATCACTGGCAGTGTGAATGAAGCAGAATCAAACGAACCTGGGTCAAATCCCGGGTCACTTTATCCGTGTATTTTCCGGAATCTCTGTGTGAAAGGGGCTAGAATCTCTGGATTAAAACACAGGCAAAAAAGAAGCAGAAACAAGCAATAGCATATGTAAGCAGATGCATATGTAAAATAACGTGATCATCAACATTAAACAGCATGTTAAACAAAACTACCAAATGTTACCGGATAAAATGTCGACGCAGGACGAGCTATAGGACTGTGAAACTTTAGGGCTGTTGATGGACTTGATCTACTCCATTTCGATCATCGTTCTGAATCCGATCGATCCGGATGTAGTCTTTGGCAAAAAACGTTATTTTCACAGCTTTTTGCTTCAAATTTTGCTTTTTTATGAACCTTATGGATGAAATTGTATTGCACTCAAAACCTGTATGACTTACACTACCAACCGTATGTAAATGATTTCTTTCAAAAGATTTCTTTCATATAAATGCTGCTTTTACTTTCTACTTTCAACATTGATGATACAAAGAAATAAAAATGAAAAAGAAATGTATCTTGTGCACCAAATCAGCATTTTAGAGTTGATTTCAGTAGGATTGTGTGACAGTGAAGACTGGAGTAATGATGCTGAAAATTCAGCGTTGCAATCACAGGAATAAATTACGTTTTCAAATATATTAAAATAGAAAACAGTTATTTCACAATATTACTATTTTTACTGTGTTTTTGATCAAATAAAAGCAGCCTAGGTGAGCATGAGGCTTCTTTCAAAAACATTTACAAATCTCCAAACCTTTGAACAGTAGAGTCATTTCTTCCATGGAACAAAAAATGGATGTGTTTTGCTAAATTTTCACAATGCTCTTTACCATACAATAAAAGAGGACAGGCATATGATAGCTGTTTGTGATGAAAAATATTTTTTGAAAGTTTATTTTTAAGAGGAAACCCCCTTGAGATGTGACATCTCGTTTTCGAGGGGACCTCAAGAAAAACATACTTTACATACATACATACTAACAGAACAAAGACAAAAGCTCTCCATCACACCAAAACCACCCATATCTTCCCCAATCCAACCATTGTATATTAGGCAATAAACAGTTAAGGTCATTCATATAGACAATTGATAAAAAAAAAATATATATATATATATATATATATATATACACATGCACACATATATATATATATATATATATATATATATATATATATATACACATAAGATATTCATACACGCATATATATATACACATACATACATACACAGTACACACATACATACATCAAGCATGAAGAAAACAGTTGCACCTTGTATGCAAATAATTATTAAGAGACATCTTAAACTGGTGAAAAGAGGAGATCGATCTAAGAGACCTAGGTAAACCATTCCAGTCAAAAATATATCTTTTGTGTTTCGTTATGTGTTTAGTAAATAATGACAGAATAATCATTTTGGCTGCACTGGTCAAGTCAGTCACCTTTATTTATATATCGCTTTATACAATAAAGATTGTTTCAAAGCAGATTTACAGTAATAAACAGGAAAATAACGATTCAATTCGGCTGTAAAGCAGCTCTAAAAAGACAACAGTAATTATTCAGTTGAGGTCAGGTCAGTGTTGATTCAAAGAAATTAAAAGCACTATTGCTTTTAATGATCAGAATTCCTATCTTGCCGTTGTCTGAGTGGATGCATATTTTATGTTCTGTGTGTTACTGTTTCTCAGTGAACGAATGGAAAGTCTGATTGCTCAATTTGGGTAGTGCATGATTTTCTAAAATTGCATGAACTGCTGTCAGTATTGCCATTCTTTTCTCTCTCTCTCGCTCTCTCTCAGTTACTTTCCTGTCTTCCCTTCTCCTCGTATGATGCAGTCCAGCTCTTGACTGACAGGTCTATATAACTGTAAGCCAAAAGAAGTAAAACGTAGCCATTAATGTTTATGAGAACTCCGTTTGAGGTGATAGTTTAATGTCTCTGTCGTAATAGAGATCTCATCAACAATCCCCGTTAAATAGAAGAAGTCTGTGTGTGCATGTCTCAGTGATTTAATAAGACCGATAGAATCTCTTCTGTTAATGGTATAGACACTGAATACAGAGTGGGGGTTGAGTTGATGTGTGTTTGATCATCCTTCACAATGGTGAAGCAGTAAATGCTCCAGGGGATTCTGGTCTTTTTTAAATACGGTCCCAGCTGTGTGCTTCCATGGGCAGTAATGAACCATACCTTTGTATGGCCATCTACGTGACAATAGACCATCAGTCCAGACCCTTTCTTTGATAGATAACTGATGAGCTTTATATGACACAGATGTGACCAAATATCATCACTCAGGAAGTGAGGCCACAAAAGTAGGGCGTATGGATTTTGCCTCTACGTATTTTGTCATTTGGAACAAGGATGTTTTTGTCTTTATTTAAACTTTTATTTTTCAGAGAGGTTTGTTCCTTAAAAGTGACAGATTTAGACATTTTATAGTCATTTTGAAATGACAAATATTCATTTCATGAAAAGGTCTTGAATTAATAATTGAACTAATTAATGGAAAAACATCATACATTATTATATTTATCTGCATTGTATGTGTTGAGAAGTGTATGTCAGTTCCATTAATCTGATGTTTTTAGGTATATTATTAAATATTTTGTGAAACATGGTATTTCAGTGTATTTATTGAAAATATGTACTACTGTTCAAAAGTTTGGGGTCAGTAAGATTTTTCTCAGCAAGTACACATTAAATTGATCAAAAGTGACAGTAAAGACATTTATTATGTTACAAAAGATTTATATTACAAATACATGCTGTTCTTTAGAACTTATATTCATCAAAGTGTCCTAAAAAATGTTTCCACAAAAATCATTAATCGGTACAACTGTTTTCAACTGTGATGATAATAATAATATTTCTTGAGCAGCAAATCAGCATATTAGAATGATTTCTGAAGGATCACGTGACACTGAAGACTGGAGTAATATCTTACTGACCCCAAACTTTTGAACTGCGGTGTATGTCAATTCCATTAATCTGATGTTTCAGGTATATTTTTTAAGATTTTGTAAAAAAAATAATTACATAATATACAATAGTGTATTTGGGTATAATTTAATTTAATTTTATAATTTAATACCAATTTTAAAAAAATAAAAAAAATAATAAAATGATATTTTAGTAACATTTTAATAATACGCTTTTTTAATCATAAATATTTATATAATAGGTATTTTTAATGCAGTTGTCATCCATTTATATGAAAATGTTTGTGTTTAAATTGTCAGCTGTGGTATGATAGTATGTATGGTTTGTGTTTCAGATGACCTGGAGGCTGTGCCAGTCAGGCAGTTCATCAAACACATCATGGAGCTGTACTCCAACAACCAGCATGGCTTTTCTCAGGAGTTCGATGTGAGTATGGCCTTTGTAGTTGGAGCATGTGAGAATGTGTGTATGTGCTGTGTACATGTACCGGTGCTCCCAGTAGCACAGAGGCACAGATGGCTGTGGGAAAAGGACTAATTAAAGAGGAGAGCCTCATTAAAATCACTCCTCTTGCTGGAGGAATCTATGCAGGAATGCAGGAAAGCTTGAGCCTGGTTCATGCCCACAGCAAACATTTACAAGATCACAATCCGGTATGGACACATTCGAAAACAAGAACTGGGTCTCAGAAAAGATTTGCTTAAAAACTTTGACAATTACCAGTATCTGCGATACGGTAGGTATCGATTCGTTACAGAGGTGCTTTGTTTTACAGATATTGGAAAACGAAATCTGCACGGTAGATTAATATCTGCTTCATTACGGCTCACTGGGGAGCTAATTATTATGCTGCAGTATAAAATTTATTTCAAATTGCATTGATGTGACAATAATTAAATGATTTGGACAAATGGGGCAATTTATGTAAATACTAATCAAAGTGTGGCTAATTACTGGAATAATTAACTAATTATTTTGTAAATGAGTCCAGTAATATGGTCAACAGAAAAAAAATCTGATAGGACTGTATTCAGAATGAAAAAAACTGGTATGCAACAATTGTTCTCTTGTTTAAACCATCAAGTGGCATCCAGTTAATCATATCAGAGATACATATTTTAATTTGAATCCAAGTTGGTGTAAAAGTAAAACCTTTTGACAGTCGAATTAAACATCGAGACAGGGAGATTTTTTTAAATGGCTGCTCTTATTTCCATTTTAATTTGTCACATGGGAAATGGAAGATGAAAATGTGTGAGCTGCTGGGTTGTTTACTTACTATTTCGATCCGGGTATTCAATGCACACAGAAATCATGCATAACTCTGTACTGCAGAAAAGCAATTGTGGACCTAGCGTCGTCTGTAAGTTATAACTAATTTGAAATCATACCTTCCCCGCAGGAGGTTCAACACTGCACGTCTGAAATGAAGATTACAGCAGAGCATTCAAATCACCCAGACAACAAGCACAAAAACAGATACATCAACATTGTCGCCTGTGAGTTGTCGATTATTATGTGGCAAACATGAACATTCACCTTCTTCAACAAACTGTGAATTCATCTGTGAAGTGCTAGCGGCGCATGCAAGATAAAAGATATTAATATCCATCTCTCAATCTTGCATGCATTGCTAGTATTTCTAAATAGATTACATATCTCAAACAGTGATTGATACATCATTTATTGCTTTTTAATACCCAGATGATCACAGCAGAGTGAAGTTGCAGCAACTGTCTGGGAAAGACTCAAGGCACAGTGACTACATCAATGCCAACTATGTGGACGTACGCATTTTTATTACTAAGTGCATGTGTGTGCTTGTTGCTTTAATGTGTGTTTTATAATTAGATATTCTCCCTCAGGGTTATAACAGATCGAGGGCTTATATAGCCGCTCAGGGCCCTCTGAAGTCCACATTTGAAGACTTTTGGAGAATGATTTGGGAACAGAACACCACTGCGATTGTCATGATCACTAACTTGGTGGAGAAAGGCAGGGTAAGTAACTAATTCCACAAAGTTTATTTAAAGTGCCCCTATTATGCTATGTTAAAGGTTCCTAATTTGGTTTTGGAGGTCTGCTACAATAGGTTTACATGCATCAAAAAACACTTTCATGTTCTCATAATACACATTGCAGCTCTTTTCTCGCAGTGTCTGAAACGGTTCGATAAAGGATTCAGTCTCTCTACACCCCTCCTTTCCGAGAGCCTACTCTGCTCTGATTGGTCAGACGGCCTAGTCTGTTGTGATTGGTCTACCGCTTACAGCGTGATTCGGAAATGAAACGCTCATTACCATATCTGAATTTCAGATCCGGAGGCTTCCTCAGTGCTTGATACACAGTGATAATAACAGTAATGATGGTGTCGGTTTTATTGTATCAATTCCAGCAGGAGTCCTCATCCTTTTGAAGTGCATGCAAAGTGGATTTGCAGAAAACAGCATTTTCTCGACATGTCAACAACACGAAGCAAACTCTTCCAGTCTCAGCTGCAACTAAGTTTGAGGGCGAGTCAAAGTAGACATTGTGCGCAGGCAGCCAATGAAGACTATAGGTTGTCTAGGAAATCGTTTTTTTTTTTTTTTCTGAGACAATAACTCCATTATCCTGCACTTTGGACTTTGAAGCTTTGCGGACCTTTTACATTCACAAACAGCTATATCACACACAACATGAAAGGTTATATCTGAAAAAGCATAATAGTGGCACTTTAATATACATACGTACAAACATTGGCTTTTGGCTTGCTTAGTTGGGGACATTTAATATTCAATAATATTATTGATCAGCCTTACTTAAGGTGGACGTTGACGCAATTTTCTTTTAGAAACAAACTTTGTTGTATTATTTTCATGTTATCACTGAAGCTGCTTTGATACAATCTGTATTGTAAAAAGCGCTATATAAATAAAGGTGACTTGACTTGACAAACACTGTTTGAGAGCTATGCTGGAGGGCAAAAAAGCGCCCTTTTTTTTCAAATTCCATTTTATTTTTATATAGTTTTTCCCATTCAAATTTTTCTAGATTCTGTTGTTTCTGTATCTATTTTTGAAGATTCCGATTTTTTTAGACAAGCATTTTTTTTTGTCCCTTAATATTCAGACACTACTCCATATCACATTTTGATTAACTCATTCTACTTTGGATTTATCAATCCAAAATTTGCCAAATCCCATGATATTTCATGTTATACTATAAATTCCATTTTTATGACTGCTCTGCGGTTCTGTCCACATTTTCCACATGGCTGAATATGGCGCGTTTTTGGTGAACTATTCTGTTAATGTAGACTTTGGTGTTTTGAAATGCAAAACAGAAGATGTAATTGTATTTGTTGTTTTTACAGAGGAAATGTGATCAGTACTGGCCGTCAGAGAACTGCGAGGTTTATGGGAGCATAATGGTGACTCTGAAGAGTACTAAAGTGCATGCTTACTACACACTCCGGCATTTCATCATACGTAACACTAAACTGAAAAAGGTACATTTGAGCATTCATAGAGCATTTACAGAGCATTGTCATAGACCCTGCATTTTGACCTCTGAATTGTCTCTCTCAGGGTCAGAAGGGGAGGCAGAATGAGCGGCTGGTGGTCCAGTACCATTACACGCAGTGGCCAGACATGGGCGTACCTGAGTATGCACTTCCAGTCCTCAAATTCATCTCTCGATCTACAGTGGCACGCACGCCGGGCACAGGCCCCGTTCTAGTTCACTGCAGGTACTTTTCTATGGAAATATAAGCTCCGCCCACTGGCGTGTCAATTGCCAGTTTCAGTGATGTACTTTCTAGTTGTGCAGGGTTTCCCATTCCTACATCATTTTCAGCAGGGTTTTTGGAAGTGAGAGACTCTTTGCTTTGTACCAAAATGCAATGTCATTTTTATCAAACCATCACTCTCTCTGTGTCCTGCAGTGCTGGAGTGGGCAGAACAGGCACATACATAGTCATAGACAGCATGCTGCAGCAGATAAAGGACAAAGGCACAGTCAACGTCCTGGGATACCTCAAGCACATTCGAGCTCAGCGCAACTACTTGGTCCAGACTGAGGTTATTACCTGTTTGATTTAATACACTATATATTTACACAGACTCAAAATGCACACTTAAATCACTTTCGGAAGGGAATATTAGTGTACTTCTTACTACATACTGCATAATGTGCAGCATATACTGTTCACTGCAGACCCATTGTTACAAATTGTATGTAGAACTAATGTAGTATGCAATTACAAACATTTAAAAATGCACAAAATTTCATCACATGACCTCATTATTTTTACATTTTTTACAAAGCTATATAAATTGTTAATTTATAGCTGCTGATTTAGGTTGTAGCACTTAAATTACTAACTGTAAATAATTCAATTAAAACTAAATTATAAAATATTTAACAAATTAAAAAATATAAAATATTGATGGAAAAAAAAAAAAATTTAAAACTGAAATACACATACCGTAATTCCTCAAATAAAGGCCGGGGCCTTTATTTACCTGAACTGCAGATGGTAGCCGGCTTTTATTTGAAGCAGGCTTTTATTAGAGGCAGGCCTTTATTTCTAATTCGCGATCCCCGCCCGCCCGCCAGCCAAGTTTCCATGGTGACGCGTCATGCTTGGCACGTGTTCACCACAGCCAAAATAGCGCTATATGACAGATGTAGCGCTTTTATTTCTAAATATTAACAAACTTGCTTACCATGTCATCAACTATCTTCTATTCTGACTCTCAAATCCGTGTAAGTGAGTTTGTTTTGTCGTTTAAAACCCTTTATAAATGATCTTGATCTGTAACGTGAGATGGGCACCGCAGTTCGGAGATTCCTGTTGTATTTGTTAAGTTACAGCGCGTGAATTCTTCAGTTTCTCCCGAAATACATGAAAGTAAGTGGCCGGTGAACTGGGAGAAGAATAGAGTAAACTTTATAGTTACTTACACTGTGTATCTGATATGAATAAAACACGTCGCCAAATATATTTGAATGGATTGTTATTGCTGCTTCCATAGACACCATTGTGTATTTTACAAACTATAAATGTATTGTTTTGCTATAAATCATATCTATTTAAATGTCTGAAACCTAAAATAAACATGTGGTTAAAAACACTTAATAGTTGTGATATATGACAAGCGCTGAGCGCGTCCGTCTTTGAGTGTACATTCATTTAAAGTGTACCTATTCACACTATTTTTTCCCCGGCCTTAATTTGAGACCGGCCTTTATTTGTCCGCGTTGACCACGCCCCCGGCCACTATCAGAGGCCCGGCGTTTATTTGAATACCGGTCTTTATTTGAGGAATTACGGTAAATGAATCTGTAATAGTAATATTTAAAAAAAAGCACATAACAAAAATACTAGAAATTAAACTAGAATTAATACTGAAAACGTAGAAATAAAAGCAAATTCATAATATTAATTAAAAAAAATTATAGTATATAAATAAGTATTAGTACTTGCATATTTGCAACACTGTTGCATATTTAAGAATAAAAAAGGCTATTTTGCAATTTTTTTAATTCCATTTTGTGTTTGTCCAGTCAAATTACTTTGAATTTGTCGTACTAGAATTGTAAGGTCATGTCAAGTGCATTGCATTGTGGGATACAGTTTGCAGTGTTTTCTGATTGCATACTGCACATTTTGGCATGTACTGTAGTACGCTGTCTGGATGTTACATACATACAGAAAATTCACATGCTGTTCAAACGCTACACACTGCATACTGAAAAAAATTATTTGTAGTAGGCCATGTCATTCTGAACATAAACCCATATTTATTCATAAATATAGTGTTCAGATGTCATTACTAATGCAAAATGGTTTGTCTTAATGACTATGTGTGACCTACAGGAGCAGTTTATCTTTATCCATGATGCAATAATGGAAGCTGTGCTTAGTAAAGAGACTGAGGTTCCTGCTTGGCAACTCCATAATTATGTTAACAGCATTCTCACCCCGAGCCCAATGGGACAAACGCGCATGGACAAACAGTTTAAGGTCTGGACTACATGACTCTGTTGTGTCTCTATGCCATTGTATAAAGATGTTTTTCTCAGAACAGTTAGACGACTAACCTGCTCCTCCTTGTGGACGCTCTTGTTAATGTTCCTCCAGTTGTTGACGCAATGCAATTCTCACCTCACGGAGTGTTTCAGTGCCCAGAAGGACTGCAACAAAGAGAAGAACCGCACCTCAACGGTCTTGCCAAGTGAGTCGCTAAACCTTCTAAACCCATATATCAAAATCAACACTCCAGCTTCTTGGCAAAATAGACTTTGCTGTATTCTCAATATACAGTGTAGCGCAGTGTAGTAGCACAATTTACTTTAACAATAAATACTATTTAAAATGCCCCCCAAAAATGTGTGTGTGTATATAATTATACTTATAAATGTACAGTAAAATATATGTTGTATCTCTATATTTTTACAGTGCATTTATAAGTTGTATTTAATGTTCATTTAACATTAGTATTTGATTTCATTTATTAAATAGATGCTCCAAGGATTTTTAACTATAGTAACGAATGCCTACGAATGTGTTATTTTACTATTATTTATATAATATTATTGTATTGATTAATATTTTTAATAAGAATTTTAATTAGATATATTTTCAGTTTACATTTTCATTTGTTTTAGGGATATTTGTTATAAGTTTTTGCTTTTAAAAAAATATTTCTGTGTAGCTTTAATTTATTTTGATTTTCATATTTTATATATGTATATATAGTTACAGAAAATTATTTTTAATCTTTAAGTCACAACTACAAATTGGTTTTAGAGTTGGCTTATATATATATATGTATATATACCGGTGTGTGTGTGTGTGTGTGTGTGTGTGTGTGTGTGTGTATTGTTTAACATAAAATATAACATAAGACAGGTCATTAAGAATTGCAAACAATAGTATTTTAAAAACACATTGAATGAATGATACAATACAAGGTTTGGTTTGTTGTGAAGGTTACAGTGAGTTGTTTTTCCCCACAGCGGAGCGGGCACGGGTGGCACTAGCTCCCCTCCCAGGGGTAAAGGGAACAGACTACATCAACGCCTCCTACATTATGGTAAAACAATAAGACTTTACTGGAACATTATACATTGTTTTGGATCATATTTAATAATGCATGGAACATGAATAATTTGCCTACCGGTGTTTTATCTCTTCATCTGCTTGTCTCATCATTTGCTGTGATTTTCTTGTAGAATGAAATCAATGTTTATCCTCTCACAGGGCTATTACAGGAGCAATGAGTTTGTCATTACCCAGCATCCTCTTCCCCACACGACCACAGACTTCTGGAGGATGATCTGGGATCATAACGCTCAAGTTATTGTGATGTTGCCAGACAACCTCGGCCTCGTGAGTACAGCGTTAAAGAGCTACTAATGAACATGAGTTTTTAAGTGGATGCTTGCTGCGTTATGTAACTTATGTTCTTTTTATACATATTCAGTAAGTTCTGTTAATGCACTCTAAAACATTTCATTCCAGCGGGTTATCGTAGCACTTACACTTCAATTCCAATTGAATTATTACCTTCTATAATACTGTTAACTTTTTTAAGAAACTATATCTAAAGAGCACCCTCAATCTAGTTATAAAATCATTTGTATTTGCTTGTAAATTTATAAATATTTAATGTGGAAATAAGTTCAATTATAAATTACTAAAAATCTATATATGATATGATATGCCCTGCTCTTCTCTTTATAGACTGAGGATGAATTTGTGTACTGGCCCAGCAGAGAGGAGCCCATGAACTGCGTAGCCTTTACTGTCACCCTCATTAATACTGACAGACTCTGTTTATCTAATGAGGAACAACTCGTCATCCATGACTTCATCCTGGAAGCCACACAGGTGTCTCACGCACTACACAAGCATGACTCTTAAAAAGGAAATTTGCATGAAGTCAGTTTGCTTGATTAGACGAACTTTATGTGGACATATTCATTTCTGCGTAAGTATAACATGCTTATACAACAGGTTTATCTTTGCTGTGCAGGACGACTATGTGCTAGAAGTCCGACATTTCCAATGTCCAAATTGGCCAGATCCTGATGCATCCATCAGCAGCACATTTGAGCTTATAAACATCATCAAAGAAGAGGCCATGACGAGGGACGGTCCCACCATTGTGCATGATGAGTGAGTGCCCTGTGTGTGCATAGAACATGAGTAGTGGCGTAGAGCCGCTTTTCCACTGTCAGGCCAAACCATTCTCAATGCTTAACCTTTCCATTCCGTGCCGATCCGGCCCAGCCGGCACGGGTACGGTTTCATTTTCCACCGTGGGGCTGAAAACCGAGCTGGAATGTAATACAAATGCCTCAGTCGTTGCCAGAGGTGGACAAAGTACACAACTCCATTACTTGTGTGAAAGTATAGAGACTTCTGGTCAAATATTACTCTGTCATAAGTGAAAGTTGTAAAGACAGATTTTTACTTGCTTTAAAAAGTACTTAAGTATCAAAAGTAAATCTTTTTTTTTATGTCAACGCATTGTTGTATGAATGCATGCTGTGCCATCATGGTGGTTTAAGCCAGTCAGTGATGCTCCATCCGACATGCATATGACTACCTTGGACTCATTTAAATACAAAGTCGAAAACATACCATAAAAGAACGGTTTCTACAGTGTGTTTATTTGACAAGAATATGCTAAAGCATATTTCTGAAAGGACTTCGGTTAACATTATTAGCCCAACTACGTTTTTGCATGCAACTAACATCATTGTCGAACCTTACCTATGCGTTAGAGGTGTATCCACAAGGCTATGGTAACTTGTTGGGCAAATCCATAAAAAAATCATTTGAAATCATTGAAATTCACGTAAGAGTGATTACTGATAGGCTGTCTGCTTAAAAACACAATCACATTAGAAGAAAAAAATCATCCTCTGACCTTCAGAGCTGCTACATAGTAACGTCTTTCGAGGACTTTGATAGAAATGTAGTGGAGTGAAAAGTACGATATTTGTCTTTTAAATGTAGTGAAGTTAAAGTGGTAAGTTTCCAGAAAATATAATACTCATGTACAGTACAGTTACTCAAAAAGTGTACTCAAGTAGGCTACAGTACTCAGGCAAATATACTTTGTTAGTATATTTACTGTCCATATACTGTCAAATATACTGATATACAATATACAAATATACTGGCAAATATACTGTCCACCTCTGGGGTAACGCAAGAGTTTACAGACGGTATGAGATGTAAATAGCGACCGCGTTATGGAGGATGATCAGATCTTTGTACTACGAAGTAACTGTTTACTTCACTCCAATAGCGCGCTTCGCCACCTACACAGAAACTGGTAGCCAGGCAAGTGACCAATCCCGAGTGGAGACATCACCACGCATTCTACCAGCATGGTTACCGGTTTGTAACCGTGCCTGCCAAACCAAGCTCAAGTCGTAATATAACTGTATCCATTCCTTACCGTTCGGCCTGACGGTGGAACAGCGGCATATGTAACCAAAAGCAGAGCCTCATGGATTGTGTTTTACAGGTTCGGGGCAGTTTCTGCCGGGATGTTCTGTGCTCTGACCACACTCTCCCAGCAGCTGGAGAACGAGAGTGCTGTGGATGTCTATCAAGTGGCCAAAATGATTAACCTAATGAGGCCTGGTGTCTTCACTGAAATTGTAAGTTAACAAAATGTAACCTCATCACAAAAGTCTGCCTGATGATGAAATTCAATTTAGAGAGGTCATTGGGGTCTCGTGTGGAAGTTTGACGCAGTCTGATTCGAGTTCCAAAACCATTTGAAAATGTTATGTTCCTTCATTGCATTTATTTCCTTTTTTTCTCTATTTTAGGAGCACTATCACTACCTTTACAAGGCTATGCTCAGCCTGGTTAGCAGTAAAGACTTCAGACTTGGCTTCAGCTACATGGATGCTGGGATAGTGGTAACGGATGAATCCAACCAGGCTGAGAGCATGGAGTCCTTGGTGTGATGTTTCCAGAAAATGAAATGGAACAAAGTAGTTCCTTGAACTTTCCATGAGGCCTTTTTCCCCAGACTCTTGGTGAAATGAAAAGAAAAAACAACAACAAAAAAGAGCTTTTATATACTGATAAAAATAAATTCTTTTGATATTTATTTTTGCTGCTTTTTGTTATCCTGCTGAGCGCCACAAACTGCTCTCCAAAACACGTGCACACAGACACACACACCGTCTACTTTGCACTACACTGTCAGTGTTACAACTTGATGCCTAGCTGATTATTGATAATTGTGTTGAAACCGTTTCCGAGTATCACTTTGTTCTTGACGATAAAGTCTTCAGACATTTGAGGGTGATCAGTGACAGCACATTAACACACACATCAGCCTCATACCCATGAAAACTGTACACAGAAAAGCTCCAACTTAATGCTCATCATGATGCGACTTTTAACCGTCAAGCATTGTGACTTGTTAGATTAATATGTTCTTTTTTTTATTTATTAAGATATGCCATTTTATGTCTAACTTATATACATTATTTCAGTGTGGTATCATAACAGCAACTGTGAACATATATTGTTATCAGTAGCATTTCTATGGTTTTGTAATATATAAAGATATTGATCAAAAAATCTCATCTCGTTTCCTTCATTTCAGTTGTCATGTTTCCAATGGGCATGCTCAGTACTTCCTCCAACAGGTATTTTCCTGAAAAAAAGATGACTGTGACTGTTCTGTTTACACTGGTATACAGGGACAGGGACAGGTGGTTTAGATCGTACCAATCAGACCATTACTATTTTGTCTTTTTGAACGGAGAAAAATCTAGATAACGTCAGTAAATTATGGAGTGCCACAAGGATCTGTGTTAGGCCCTCTGCTATTTTCAATAAAGAAAATTCTGATTAAATGATTCTATAACAGATTAGGACATAAATCTGAGAATTCGTTTGAGGAAGGGGTGAGATACTGAAGTAAAAGTACTCCACTTAAAACTACTTGATAAGTTTTTAAATATAAAATGCTCATGTATAGTCAATGAAATGACACCAATGAAGATACTCACCTGATACACAGATGGATGTTATCGTTGAACAATAGAGGATCAACATTCTGAGAATTTTTTTTTTAATTCCCATTAAAATTCTCATGTATAGTCAATGGAACAACTCGGATGAAGATGATCACCTCATACACAGATGGAAGTTAGTGTTGCTTTGGCCATTAACCAGTATGATTTAACACATATTACAACTCTTTAATGTTTTGCTTTAAACAATCACAAATGAAAGAAAAAGAATGTTGTATACTATGCAGTACATATTCATGTCCCCATTAAAAAAATGGAAACACACGCAACTTATTAGGAACTTTTCCAGTTTTAAGCCAAACAGAGTCTTAAAAAAACAAGCTGATAATAACTCGCCTTAACATGAGAATTTGCTTTTTGTTACAGTTGACGGCACCCATTGACTTCCATAGTATGTTTTTTCCTACTATGGAAGTCAATAGGTGCCGTTAAGTGTCTGGTTACCAACGTTCTTTAAAATATCTTCTTTTGTGTTCAACAGAAGAAAGAAACTCATACAGGTTTGGTACAACATGAGTAAATGATGACAACATTTTCATTTTTGGGTGAACAATTCATTTAAGTAGAAAAATTAAAAAAAACTTTAGGGAAATGATATTAAAAAAAAATATTAAACACAGATCTAGACAAACACTATACACAACACATCATTGTGCGTCAAGTAAATAACATGGATATTATACGCTACTCATTTCTACCACTAGGAGCACTATATCTCTGGGACCAGTCCACTAATACACAGGGAACGGGCGCTTTTGCTTTCATCGGTTAAGTGTTTTAGTTACACAAATGACCGCCATCTCTGTGCCACCTACATTGTTTAGAAATAACACTTGTTGTTATTACATTGTATGCATATATCTTCAAGCAAAGCAAACATGATGGCATACCAACAATGTTTATTTTTCCCTTCTCTCTACCCGTGCACATGTAAAAGTGAGCTCGCCCACGTGTGACGTATTTCCTTCATGACTATGTGATGCCATCTTGATACGAAAATAGTGTCGCATGAGTTGTATGATACGGAATATTATTGTCTTGCTATTATATACGAAGACTGCGTTATTTTGCGTTATTCTAATTAGACTATAAACGGACACTGTTGAGAGTATCGTTCTCCGTGAGCGTTGTGTTAACTGGTTCATTCATTGATCCTAACAACAGTCACATTTTTTTTTCTGAACGAGGAGCGTGGTGGCGCTAACAAAGGAATATCTGGATCCGAGCAGTTGTTCATTGGTAGGGTTAATTGTATTCTTTTCATTATAATACGCACACGAATATGTATTTACACCGCATATTGACCTATTAGTTGTCGGTTGAGGCAGTATTTTACTGTTGCTTAGCAATAATGATTCGCGAGTTGTTCGCTAGCGCTATGTACTGAAGTCGCGCGCACGGCCGTCAGCTCACATTACAACTAGCGGTAAGATTTTGATTCACCCTAGTGACTCGATTCTTTTGCATCTCTTCACTAGAAAGATTCATTTAGTGACACTTTTGCTATTTACATCGTAATGACAAATGTCCTCTCTGCGGCTTACAAGTGGAAATACTACTTAATTCCATATTAAAATTAGTCTCTACAATTCTACCAAGAAAATGCTTAATACAGATCTGTCATTTTAACAATAATAACCTACATTTCGATTTTCAATAACGTGTTTTCTTCACGAACGTTGTCTCGTTCAGTTCCGTTTTGACTTGTTCACACTAAAAACACTGACTCTTTCAGTGAAGGGGCGTGGTCATTCCGCGTGTCCAACCAATGATATTGATCCTTCACAGCCCGGACTTGATTGCTATTGGTTCGCTATAGTCAGTGAGTCTTTGAATACAGGATAACAGTCAAAGATACTCAAGAGAACGATTCGATCAAAACAATTCTTCCACGATGGAAGCGCCACAAATTACATTTACTTACCAACAGCTCGACTCAGGAGAGATGGCCGAGATGTACATTCGCGTCGCGGAGGAGGAGAACGAGGAGCCGATGGAGATCCCGTCGGAGGACGACGGCACGGTGCTGCTGTCCACGGTGGCCGCTCAGTTTCCAGGGGCTTGTGGCCTGCGCTTCCGGAGCCCGGTGTCTCAGTGTATGAGGGGAGTTCGCTTGGTGGAAGGAATCCTGCACGCTCCCGAAAACGGCTGGGGAAACCTGGTCTATGTGGTCAATTACCCCAAGGGTACGTTTTATGTTCACTACAAGAGGCTTCGGACGTACCTAATATAAATATGAGAAAGGTTTTGAGAAACATTCTAATAATGGTCAAAATCATGTTTTATTATGTAAAATGACTTTATTAACCCTAACGTTTCCCCCTCGGAGGCTAAAGAGCTCATTGTATGCATATTAGGGTTAATTTAGGCATGTGCTTTATAGTTTAACACTGAGGTTATGTCGAAACCATAGTTGAGCACATTTGGATGTTGCAAACATGTTCTTCAGTATTTCTTTTGTCTATCTTTAGTTGTAAAAATGCAATGCATTTTGATTTAATGGGGTTATTTTAGTCGCATGAATGGTTTGGATATGTAAACATGTAACAAGTGAACTTTTCTATTCTAGAAACGGCTCTGCCAGATAATAAGAGGAAGATGGATGAGATTGATGCTTCTTCTGCAACAAAGATCAAGAGAGGAGATCAGAAGACTTCAGATCTGATTGTGTTGGGTCTGCCATGGAAAACTTCAGAACAAGACTTAAAAGACTACTTCAGTACGTTTGGAGAAGTCATCATGGTGCAGGTAAAACATACTGATATAAATATAAGATGTGATCGTCTTTGTACTGTCATATTTTGGTGAAAGCTATCCAGCTATTAAAAATAGAACTGCACTCGACTGTCATTCTTGAAGTCAGATTAGATCTGGTATGAATTCAGTTCTTGATTCTGTTACACTAGGTCAAGCGGGACGTAAAGACGGGAAATTCAAAGGGGTTTGGGTTTGTAAGGTTTGGTGACTGGGAGTCTCAGGGTAAGGTGATGTCGCAGCGGCACATGATTGACGGCAGGTGGTGTGACTGCAAACTACCTAACTCTAAGGTTAGTGTCTTTTTTTTTTTTCAAAGTTTGGGGTTAAACATTTTTTTTTAATGTTTTTGGAAGAAGTTTTTTATGCTCACCAAGGCTGCATTTATTTGATAAAAAATACTGTTAAAAACAGTAATATTGTGAAATTAAATGTTAAAAAATTCGAATGTTTTCTTGTGATGGCAAAGCTGAATTTTCAGCATCATTACTCCAGTCTTCAGTGTCACATGAAATCATTTTAATTTGCTGCTCAAGAAACGTGTCTTATTATCATCAATATTTTTGTGGAAACCATGACACTTTTAAAATAAATTTTGTAACATTATGATTGTCTTTACTTTACTTTGGCCAATTTACTTTACAGACTTTTGAACGATAGTGTATATTAGAGCTGCATGATTTATCATTAAAAGACCGCAATCAACAATTCACCTGTGTCTATTAAACCTTTGATAAAATAACACTGGAACATTCAAATCTGTTTTGGCGCTTCCGCTGAGCTAGAGAGATCAATTGTTGAACTTGGCGCTTCAAATAACGCTTACTATATCAGTTGCATCTTTACGCCACCAGGTGGTGACAAGTGACTGTTAAAAAAAAAGTGTCATTGAATCATTCATTCAACAGATTCGTTTTAAAAAGCTGATTCATCAAGAAATGAATCATTCATTCAAACACTGTTTTTTTTAATTGTTCAGATTAATTAAAGCTGCAGTCCGTAGCTTTTTTGGGTGAAAAATTATCCAAAGTACATTTGAGCAAATACATAACCAGCCAGGGTTCAAAACTATCTGCTTGCCTTAGCTCGATTCAAAACGGTAAGCTTGTAATAATGTTTTTAACTCCAGTGGTACTGGTGGATTTCCGCGGGAGATTCGAGCATGTCTTTGCGTCATTACGTCACATCTGTACACAAAGGAGTCTCGGCTAGTAGGCTATATTGCGTGTGAGGATGTTGGAGGTGGAGATGTATAGCCTTTTCTCACAGCACTTGATATAATTAAACTTATCAATTTGATGGCGGATCCAAAAAGGTCCAAACGACAATCACCAGTGACAACTGGAGACTCACCCGTTGTAAAATGCAAAAGACTTCTGAGTGCCTACAGAAAAAAAAGAGACTGCAACCGGGCCCACTCGAAAACAAGGATAAATATCGGAAGGGCATTACCGTATTTTCCGCACTATAAGGCGCACCTTCAATGAATGACCTATTTTAGAAAAAATTTCATATATAGGGCGCACCGGATTATAAGGCGCATAAGATACTGCAGTCAAACGTTTGACTGGGTTTGCGTTATGCATCCACTAGATGTGCTAAAGGGAATGTAGCGAGTGCGTGGCGCCGGAGGCGAGGCGTTTATTAGTAAGCTTGAGCACGCTGGGGCGGGCACGTAACTTACATTCGCAGCCTGACTGCTGACAGCAACAGCTGGCTGTTTTGAATGAGACGACCCGGTTACTGTGAACGGGGAGCGCTTTATGAACATTCTGTGACGCGCGAGCAGCGCTGGGGACAGTGTGTCTGTTAGTAATGGTGTGTAGACACCGAACGCGAATAGAGCGTCAAATACGCGTCTATCGCGTCTAGTTAGACGCTTGAACATTCGCTCGAGTTCAAATTTTTCAACTCGCGCGGAAGACATTCGCGGCAAACGCATCGCCCAATTCGCGTCATTCGCAACGCCCGGCGCGAATGATGCGTCTATTCGCGTCTTTGCATTGACTTTGTATGTAATCTACTCGCGCAAATAATTAAATTCGCTTTCGGTGTGAACACCATAAGAGTGAGCGCTCGTGAGCGGGCACGTGACTGACAGCTGCACACTCTCCTCAAACATTGGATTCATCCGTGCTGTGCTGTGTCGAGGCACAACTCACGTAAAGCTGATAATTCCGCGAATGACTGCAATTGCAGATTTCGAAACAGAAATGGCGACAAAGAGGAAAAACTGCGGACTGCAGCTTTAAGCTATTTAAATAGAGTGCAGCAATTAACATTTTGTAAGAACCTCTAGTAAATGACATGTTTTGTTGTCTATTCAGAATCGTGATCTCTATTTTAAACAGAAAAAAAATTGTCATTCTCATTCAGAATTGTGCAGCTCTATTGTATATGATAAATTGTTACTTTTAATCAATTAGATTAAAAATGCAGTGTCAGGTATTCACTTTTAGGGTGCTAAACAAAATGATGTGTCTGAACATTTAACAGCAAGGTCCAGATGAACCAATGAGGAGCAGAAAAGTATTTGTGGGCCGTTGCACAGAGGACATGAGCGCTGATGAGCTCCGTCAGTTCTTCATGCAATATGGGGAGGTCACAGATGTCTTCATTCCTAAACCATTCAGAGCGTTCGCTTTCGTCACCTTTGCAGATGACCAGGTAAGCTATTGTTTTTTTCTCGTTGATCTTAAAGTGCCCTGTTCTGCTATTTCAAAGGTTCCTATTTTTGTTTTGGAGGTCTCCTGCAATAGGTGTATATGAATCCAATGTCAAAAAAACACTTTCATTTTCTCATAGTGTACATTGTAGCATCACCTCTTTTCTCACAGTGTCTGAAATGGTCAGACGACCCAGTCTGTTGTGATTGGTGTGGAAACAAAACTCCCATTACCATATCTGAATTTCAGCTCTGGATCTTCCTTAGCACTGGTATACACAGTGACACAAACAGTAATGATGCAGTCGGTTTTACCGTATCAATTCGAACCCTAGTCCTCATCCTTTGGAAGTTCAAATGCAAAGTGGATTTGCTTTCGCAGTGTAGAAAACAGTGTCTTCTCAACATGTCTACAACACGAACCAAACTCTTCCAGGCCTTGAAAAAGCACAATGGGGGCACTTTAAGGTGATAACTCAGGGATAAAGACCTGTTCACAAAAAACTAAACTAAACTAAAACTATAAAATAAATAAAAATAACGCAAGATACAGGCCACGTGGCTAGATTAATTTGCTCTTTGTGTGAATACGTTCATATGAATGCGTTTCAATTCAAGGTCTTGTTTGTGGTGATTTTTCTATTGGTATTTCTATTTACTTTTTCAGCATTCAGGAATTTGTTTAATATTCTATTCTGGATGGATAAATCACCTGTTCATGCATTTCTGATCAAAATGAATATTTTTCATCTTTCCTCCAGGTTGCCGCATCCCTGTGTGGAGAAGATCTGATCATCAAGGGCATCAGCGTGCACATCTCCAACGCTGAGCCAAAACACAACAACACTAGGCAGATGATGGAGCGGGCAGGGCGCTTTGGGAATGGGTTCGGAGGTCAGGGTTTTGGAGCCAGCCGCAGTGGCATGGGGGGTAGTAGCTCCAGCAGCTTGGGAAATTTCAACAATTTCAATCTCAACCCAGCCATGATGGCTGCCGCCCAGGCTGCCCTGCAGAGCAGTTGGGGTATGATGGGAATGTTAGCACAGCAGAATCAGTCAGGTGCGTCTGGCACTAGCACGAGCGGCGCTAGTGCCACTCGGGACCAGCCCCAAACATACAGCTCAGGGAACAGCAACTACAGCAGCTCAGCTGCTCTCGGCTGGGGCTCCGGCTCTAACTCCACCCCAGGTGGTAGTGGGTTTAACTCCAGCTTTGGGTCTGGTATGGAGTCTAAGTCGTCAGGGTGGGGTATGTAAATTGGTTTGTGTTTGAAGTGTTGTATTTCTAGCGCGTTTGGTAAGTATTTTCCGAGAGACTTATCTTGTCACGTGTGTTTGGGAGTGGGGATGGGTGAAAAGGGAGACGGGGGACAAAAAAAGACGAATGTTTTTTACACTGAATGGAATTTAAGTTAGTTTAGAGCGAGATGTTAACCAAGGTGCTACATTAATGTACCATCTTTGGAATTATGTTTTTTCCCCCAATGTTGTTTTGTCTTGGTCGATGCAAACTAAGCATTTCAACTGGATTCTTGTAATGCATGTTGTTCAATCTGTGAATATCTGAAAATGCATGAGAATTGCATAATCCTACAAAGTACATGTATCATTATTTAGGACAAAAAAAAAGACATTTGCATTGGAAAGAATCTGGTTGAAACCTGAACATATTGTAAATTCAGCTTTATGATTCAGTCCAGTTTTATGGAAACCCTTTAAAACAAGCCTTCATCAAAATCTCTTCTGCAGTTGACATCTGTGGGGTTTGCCTGGGAAGAGCGCCCTCTATGGCAGCACAGTGTGGCTGAGGTCATTATGTCACCTTCCTCCCCATGTCTATATGCTCTCATCGCACGGCTCGATGACACGGTGGGTGTCTCCTTTTTCTTAATCCACTTTTTAAGACAAGAAGTGCGCAGAAAGTGACGTTTTTAAACAACCCTTGAGTGCGATTGGTGATATGGCGAAGAGTGAGAAGGCTGCGAGTGAGCGAAGAAAGTGTGGAGCGCACGAACGAAAAGACTTGCGAGTGCGATGAACGAGCCGAAATGTGACTGCAGTGGGTGGGTTTGGTGAGCGAGTGAATGAGAGCCGCTGATACTTCCCAGCTTTCCCCTTAATCGAGCCCAAATTGACAGACATTTTGTTCATGTGTACATCAAAGATTTTTTTTTCTTTTGATTTTTTTTTTTTTTTGGTCTCCCTAGGTTCCCTTTTGCTTTTCTCCTTTAGTATACTGACATGTGCTTATATAGTTAGTGGAATGTTGTGATGATGATGATGATGCATACTTTGTCTTGCTTCTATAATCCCATCTGAATGCTGTATGGTGTGTGTGCTTTTTTTTCCTTGTAACTTGACCTGTAAGTGTGAGCTTTGATATGGATGACATCTTCAGTGGACACTGAGGGGGGAAAACATGAGTGATGGTGTAAGTGCGACCTGTATGTTGAGTGCTGTGGATGTCTGTGGAGTTTCCCTCTAAATAACGTTGCTCAGTGTTTTCAAAGGCATTTTATATGACTTGTCAAATGAAGGGAGTGCTTCAATAAAACTAATTTGAATAGATTGCCATTTTCTCATACTGGTTTGTCACGTGATGTTTAAAAAAGCAAATACCACACAACTAATTGAATTCACACATTTAGGGGCCTGGAATATGGCTGGTCGCAACTGAACCCCAGGCGGGAAGTCCGTTTGGGGATGGAGGAAGATGGAGGATGCTGTGGTTCTGCATCTCTGGTTACGGCCATGGACACGGTAGACTGTAGCAGAATTTGATAGGTGCTTCCAGATGAGGTGTTAATTCAAAACACTTCAAGCATAATACATTTCTATCTGAAAATCTGAGCTGAGATGGTATTAGGCTTGAATGTGTTTGGTTTTGAGAAAGCAGCTTGTTGTATTCTAATGCAGGCATAGGTTTTTCAGGTCCATGTTTTGAAAATGTTTGAATTAAAATATTTGAGAGAATCTGTATTGTTTCAGAGCTTCATATTCCCAAGAAAGTAGTGTTTATAGGATTCTTTATTACAATAAAACCCAAATGAACTCTTTGAGTATAAAAAAATTATTGGTGTTAAGTATTTAATCTGATTTATGTACAAATATTTGTACAGCTGTTTTATTACATGCAAAAACCAAGTACTTTTGTGCAACTTGTAAAAATGTGAATTTTGTACATTTCTTTTGATCAGTCTTCAACCTCGTTCTCCTCCTCCGCTTCCATGTCTTTACTCTTCCTCTTGGCAGCATTCTTCTTCCTTTTCTCCTTCAGTTCATGGTTGTTCAAAGCCAGTTCTTCACTTTTCTGCTGAATGTAGTTGTACTGTAAGGATAAAGCAAGGGCACAGTGTTTTTTTCGTTACTTTACTAGTAAATATTTTGTATTACATGAGCAATTGGCAGAATGTTCAGTTATTTAGAGGTATTTTTAAAGAAATATTTTAAGTTACTTAAATTAAGTTAAATTAATTTAATCATGTATAAATTAACAAGGTTACACTTTAAATGGGCAATTACTGAGTAATATTAATTAACTACATGTACATATTATAGAGGTAGGGTTTGGTTTTGGGTTATTTGTAATTATGCATAACTTACTGTTATAACTATAGTGAGTACATGTAGTAACGTGTAACTATGACACCTTAAAATAAAGTGTTACCCTTTGCAATGTCAAATTAGATTTTCCTTAACAGTCACAAAATACCAACTTATATACCCAAGCGTTATATATTATTTTAAATATTAACATTTAGGCCTGGTTTCACAGACAGTGTTTAGATTACTGGGATTAGGCCTTATAGTTCAATCATAACATTTAGCTTTTATAAAGGTGCCTTAGAAGAAAAAAAAACATTACTGGTGTGCATCTTGAGACAAAATGGCACTGACATATTTTAAGAAATTTCAGTGCAATTTGTTTCCAGTTGAAACAGCTCAGTAATACATTTTAACCTGGGATTAGGCTTAAACCTTGTCTGTGAAACCAGGGGTACCTGTAGGCTATAACATAATATGATAGGCTTCCGAAGATTGGCATAATATATATAGAGGTAAGCAACAGGACGAGAGTGAATAAATATGTTTACAAGACCTTTGAATAGTTTTAACTTCCTTTTTTACAATGTCATTTTTCATTGTTGGGTGGGACCTTGCAGATTGTTTGCAACAAAAAAAGTGATACGTTTCTTCTGAAATCACCCTACCAGTGCAGTGGTTCTTCTCGCTGTTAGCTTCACATCATCCACTGTAACTGTGTGTCTTTTAGCATGTCTGCAAACATTCAATATATGCCTCAGCGCAAATAAAAACTCTTTATGTGGTTAATACAGAGGAAAACCTACTTTTGCACTAAGTTTACCTCGCAAACGCTTCCAAGTCCTTGGCAAATATATCTGGAGAGGTAAGAAACAGGACGAGCTTGAATAAATATGTTTAATCCAACCGAAATATGAATGTCACAAAGCCCAATCTTACCGCACTGTCTGAATGCAGTCTCTGCAATTGCTGCTATTGTCTGTTTGGTGATTTGTTTCTCGCAGTCTGCAGCGATGTGTTGACAGAGAGAGCCGACAGTGTAGTGAACGGCAGCTTTAAGCCTCTAAAAGAACATAAATACTGTCAACATGACGAGATAAAACCCCGAACACTTCTTTACAATGTGCATAAACATAATACGTTTATAAGTTATAACCTGTTTTTGTGCCTCGTCCTCGTCCATTTTCATTGGATAACTAAGCTGAAGCTCAACTTTATGCTTTTAGCCATTTACAATTAAAAATTGCGCGAATTATGAGTTCTTCGCGTTGTATGACGTCGCCAGAGTTCATTATCGCCCTAACAGCGCCTCCTGCTGACGTGGAGTGAATGTCATTCAAGATTAATAGTTCACTTAAACATGAAAATTCTGTCAGCGTCACCCTCAAGTCAAATGAATCCATATGCATTTATTTCCACAACTGTTTGGTTACCCATATTCTTCTAAATATCTTCCTTTGTGTTCAACAGAACAGAGAAATTCATACAGGTTTGAAACAAGTTGAGGGTGAGTAAATGATGACAGATTTTCCTTTTCGGGTGAACTATCCCTTTAAGGCCCGGTTTCACAAGGCTTACACTTGCCTTAGAAAAGAAACATTAGGCTACTGGTGTGCAATGTTGGATAAATCTCTTGAGACAAAACAATGGCATGGCAGTCATAGACATAAGATGTGTCAGTAGGCTACAAGTTGCTGTTAAAACTGCTCAATTTCCATTTTAGTCTGAGACTAGGCTGCCTTTGTCTGTGAAACCGACCAAAAAAGAAACGTGTTTATTTTATGAATAGCTCTTTGATATCTGACAATGCCACAAGGGGAAGTTACAAGTGATTATTTCTGTTTGCTGCTTCCCTACAACTAAAGCATTTTAATACTGTGTTGGGGTTGGTTGACCCAATTGCACACCATTTTAAGTCAAAATAGGGAAACTGTGCCAATGTCTCCCTACTCAAATATTTGCTTAGAACTTTAAATCAATAAGAACATCAAAAGAGGACAACATACACTCCTTAATACATTTTTATTGTTTTTATTTATTTGATCTGAAAATGACATGTTCTTGACCTATATATATATATTTTACTCACAAGAAGAGTGTCTCCCTCCTTCCAGTGTGTCCATTCCTCTCAGTGCACTTAGGTTTTCACTGTTGTTTACTTTTTCATTTCTTTTTGAAATTGTATGTTCACTTGGATTGAGAATGGATTAATGCAGTGTGTATGTTATTATTCTTCAATAAACATGACAACAATTTCAGTTCAAGACAATAATTCACGCTGTTCTTTTGTAGGTTTGCTTGCAGATCTGGTCTTCACATTTAAGTTCCTTGAAAGGAAGAATAAAAATGATTTTAATTTTTATTTATTTGGTATTTGTATTCATTTTATCTGAAAATCGCATGTTATTGAATGTTTTATTTGACTCACAAGGTAAAGAGTGTCTCCCTCCATCCAGTGTGTCCATCCTCTGTTCTTTTTCTCTCCTTTCTGGACGCACACGAGTTTGTCGTTGTCCCAGTTGACTGTTGTCTGTAGAAAAAAACAAGCAGTATTACTCAATTCTGGCACAGAAAACTCTACCACATATTTTATTGCCAATATCTAGTGTGTGTGTGTGTGTGTGTGTGTGTGTGTGTGTGCGTGCATGCGTGTGTGTGTCCATGGTAAACCACATTATCAGGACAAATTTGTTTGGTTCCCATGAGGAAAACAGCTTATAAATCATACTAAGTGAAGTTTTTTTAGTTTTCTGTTATGGGTTCAGGGGCAGGGTTAGTGTAAGGGGGTAGCATATAAAGTTTATTTAAAATTATTACGCCTGTGGAGAGTCCCCAAGATAGCGAACCAGACGTGTGTGTGTGTTCTACCTGGCATTTTCTGTTGTCCAGTCCTTTGGTGATTTCCTCAAACTCTTCTCCAATTTTGAATGAAGAAGAGTAGTTACGGAAAGTTGTTAAAGTTTTAACGGTAAAAGAATCTCCGTCTTGCTCAAAAATCTTCTGTGGCTTTAGCATCCCTGCTATCTTTCGGGTGGCAAAATCAATTCCTGTATTACATAGAGCAAGGTGAAATCCATATTCTTAGTAAATATACTCAAAATACCAGTTCCTCTTAATAAAAAAAGTGTTCTATCTATCTATCTATCTATCTATCTATCTATCTATCTATCTATCTATCTATCTATCTATCTCTAAAATATTGAAATAACTAATTTATATATATATATATATAATATTAAAATCCTGATAAATGAATGACATTACTCACCGAGAGCAACCATGAAACCTTCAAAGTTGTCATTGTCCACTATGTCCCAGGTTCCACTATAGTTTGCAGGCATGCTTGATGTCGATCCTGAAGCGTTTCTGTGAGTTCTAGCTCCTGTATGAACCTAGAAAGTGGAATATTTAAGTGTACATTCGTGGAAATGAGAGAAGCAGATGTGCTGTGTCGTATTTCAGCAGGTCTGTGTAATATGGGGCAGGGGTGATGTGACACAAAGGCTATTTTAGAGGCCTGGTCAATGTTGCTGTTCTCTGAGGCGGAACTTAACTTTTACACACTGCTTGCGTCCCGTGGGAATTCAAAGAGAACAATGTAATTCAAAAGACACATGTTGCTTTGGCAGTGGACTGATCTGATACAGGGAGTAAACAGTTTGGCAAGAATTTAGCAATGTCATAGAAGTCCCATATGGTTTGAGATGATTCGTTTTGTTTCATTATCTGTGCCAGATTTTCATTAACAATGTGGCAATGGCTTTAAATAACTTCTGTGGTATACTGGTTTATTTTCCTCTTTTTTCTACTCTCTTGTCAGAAGAAAAGGTTCTAAACCTTAAGGTTTCTGCAGGCGCTTCAACTTTTCGGTCATGGGATCATTTTATGGATTTCTTTTTTTCATTTATTTTTTATTTTAACTAGATTGTATGAATTAAACAGCTTGTAAACATACTTTAGAAAAAAATTGCAATAACCGATTAAACATGAAAGTATTAGGCAGGCAATCATGTAAGACATTTCTCCTTATACTGTAGAACCTTTTCGGCATAAAGAGTTCTTGAATCAAGAAACCCATATTGAATCCCCCTGAACCTTTTTTAAGAGTGTATTTTCTAAAAAGCTCTCATCCAGGTATCTTTTCTCGACTCGCTCCGCTTCAGAAGTCATTGAGGTGGATTTAGTTCTCATATGGGACTTTCATCTGTTCTTAAAGTTATTGGAATTTCAGTCATCCTTTACTCAATGTGAATGTGGGCTGTGAAGGTTAAAAAAAAAACATAAATGTAAACAACTTTTGAAGTCTTCTGTGATAAACAGACAACAATAGAGGGAATGCATTAACGCCACTTCCCCGCCGGAACACGCCCCCTCAGCGGGACTGAGTGGCAGAAGAGCTGCTGCGTGACTGGAGTTAATAGGGGAAACTGCGTTAACGCGAGTAAAACAAACTATTATCAGTTTAAACTAAAAGTTGGACTCGATATAGTGTTCCTTACAACTTATCAAAGATCCAGTGATCCATGGATATTGACATGCAGCCAGGAATCGTGTTTCCTGACATTTATATGTGCCTGATTTCGACACCGGGGAAATAAATGAAGACAATTTGCCTGTAAACGTTTTATATAAATACAATATAGATAGGTCTAAATCCGAGTGATCACTTACATTAATGTTATACTGTATATCATCATATCGTCCAGCCCTAAAACTTGTATAGTTTTTTGTCAGTGTTTATTTAAAAACATCCAATTATGCAGAATATAGTCTGTTCTGTAGCTTTTTGCAGTCTGTAAAAATATACAGTACCTCAGATTTCTGGTCAAATCTAGTTGTACAGTCAATCGCAAAGCTCTTTCCCGTTTTAGATGTGTTTTGTGTGTTTTTCACGGCGTTCACGCTGAAAACAAATGCTGCCGCTCAGTCTTTTTGCCACTTGTGGGCGTGACCGCATTCACTCCGGCCGACGGTGACGTCATGCGCATACCCTCTATTATTATTATTAAATAATTATTAAAATGATTATTTAAATAATTATTTTCTGAAAAAAATATGGTAATAATGAATATGTTAATAGAACAGTCATTAAAAAATAAAAGTATCATGCTATTATTATTTCTCAATCTTTCATGATTATTTTAACGTCTTTGCAATGTTGAACGATGTAGATTTACTGTGGTACAATACACATTTTATTATAAGCCAATACGTTTTATACAATATTTAGATCCCTTAAACAAACCCAACCTCTTTGTAGCGACTGAAAAAAGTTATTCGAATCCACAATTTGACATCTCTGTTAACGTAGCTATACCAAGACTCAGCACTAGGCGGCGCCATTTGATATAACCCGAAAGAGGATCTCTCTTCTTTCCGAGAGCTTCTAACCTGCGATCATGCGATGCGCTGACTAGCATGATATTGATACCTTTCTGGTAAGTCCTGTAATTCTTCTATCAATTTTCTTTCCTGACCTTTATACCTCACTATATTATTTATACTTAGAATGTTTCAGTAAGATGCCTCTGAGAGTCTTAAATAATTTTCTATCATTGCAGTTGTACGTTGCTAAAGAAAGTGTAATCATCTGAGGGGATATAAACTGCACAATGCTTCACCACTTCTTAGTTCATGCAGCTTTTCAGACCAGCAGATGGCTTCCAAGAGAACAAAGGTTGAAATTGTAAGTTAACAAATCTAACGTTACCTATCTATCTATCTATCTATCTATCTATCTATCTATCTATCTATCTATCTATCTATCTATCTATCTATCTATCTATCTATCTATCTATGTCTACATAATTGGTAAGTAAATAATATTGAAACCAGATGCTGAACACTATTTTATGTATTTCTCGTAAAGTTTCATTTGTCTGTGTGTGTGTGTGCAGACATCCATAACATTAAACATTTTAAATGAAACTTGTTTTACTCTGGCAGTCAGATTGTTCTTTTCGTCTTTGTGGTTCTTTTCCTGGCACCACAGTTTTATATTTTGTCAAGGTAAGCCCCCTTATGAAGTTTCACAAATAAAAAGCCGATCTCCCAGTGACACATAGCATGTAAAATAAACATATTCATATGTGCATGCATGATGTCATAGCTTATCATGTGAAATGTCTAATATTCTGCAGTAATGTGTTCACAGGCCAAAATCTTCTCGCTACTGTGAAAAGCCACTGCTGAACAATCTTATAGTCTTCATTGTGTTCTCTTTTATAGCAACAGGTAATCAGATTTTTATACTTATACTGTAAATGGTTTGTTTAGCATATTTGTTCTGCTTTCTAATTTTAAATGTCTTCTCTTCTCATTTAAGGTTTGGCTGTAGCGCTTACACTCACAGACCCAGTTCCCAAGAGCATCAGGGTAGCTTTTCACTCATTTGGGCTGTTCGCATTTATACAGGGACTCTGTACATTCATTCTTACCCTCACTGCACCTCAGTGTGTAAGTGTGAAATATAGTAATGTGATTTTATGTGCAAAAATAGTTTTACCTTAATATAGTCACAGTTTATTTTTCTCAGGCGAACACCACCACAGAATTGTATATATTTTCTTTGGTAGTGTCTTGGGCCTGCATACTCTCAACAGGTGAGATAATATACTGGGTTTGGTCAGTTCCATTCCAAGTGTAGAAGGACAATATATATAAAGGACAAAATAACCATTGTTTTTCTTGTGTCTCTACCCAGTTTTCTTTCTGGTCAGAGGAGGTATTTGCCTGATCCACAGACTGTTTCCTCATTGGTTAAGAGATACATCCCTCTGGGGTTGAAAATGATCTACTGCTGCTGTACAGCCCTCCACTGACACTCAATACAGGTGCATCTATTATTTACATAGTTTCAATGGTTTTCAGGCAGTTGTGAGGTGCAGGATAGGATTAATGACACTAATATTAGCATGCAGGGGAGGAGAAAAATGCATATATACAATTTTTTTTATAAAATCTGTTTACAGTCCACATTTGTGGGTTATATCTGAATCCAGACATGTTTGAAAGACATTTTAAAAGAGAAAAAATAAAACAGATGATTTCAAAAATATATTTTATTGTATGCATCAAAACCAGCACCAAATATGAAATGATTTATGTGATGCCATGTAATACAGATGAATACCATAACAAAATTTCCTTGAAACATAATGGAAAAGTAAGACTTCATTCAAAAATGTCAATTCAAATATGTTAAACCTGTCAGCGAGACACATACTTTGTTGAAATACACACAGTGGTTCAGTGCAGGATCTCTACAATGTTAAACGTTTTGTTTTGAAAACCAATGAATCTATTTAAAATCGGGTAAATACACATAAGGACTTCAAAGTATGATTTCAAAATCTAGTGCATTTACATTAGATCCCTGTGGAATGTAATGTTCGACTTCACTACAAAATTTTAGCCAAAATCAACGCTTATGAATCAGACAATGCTGATTCATAAACAAAAGTGTTTCCTAAAGCATGCGATTCTAACTAAAAAATTATTCTTAGATTTTAAACCGCACTTAACAAAGGCATTTATGTGTATATACAAACAGTTAAGGCATTATGACATTTGGACTGCTCTACACAAAATAAACCATTGTTTTCTGAGGTATGACAAAAATCTTTGACACTAATACACTGTCAAAAATGTGGTGCTGGAATGCTTTTATCAAGCAAGCCAACAATAGAAACTCAATTCAGTCTAAAGATGAAACAGTACATTGACATTTGTTCCATCATGATTACACTGGATATGCCATCTTTTGTGGACATGTTAGGATTTCTTAATCTGAGGTCTGAGATGACGCCTAGAACAGAATTTCACCATTTAATTGAAACCTTTGAATTGAGGAAGAAAAAGATTCCAAATTCATCTGCTAGTTTACTCATGGTCACATGGTTCCTTCATCTCAAATTTAATCTGGTGGACTGATGAATAATTGTTTGCGCTAATGCAATTATGTAGTAAGCAAAGTAAAAAGAAAAGGAAAAGTCCAATTACAGAGCATTTAAATATATGTTTTATCTGATCACTGATTGGTCACAAATGTGGAAAAAGTGCTTGATCTGGAATGACATTTTTCATACGCATCTTCTTAATTGCTTTCTTAACTGTCTGATCTTGTGGAATAAGGATTTGTAGCAATATTATAAGATTAATTATTACTTTATTACTGTAAGCTAAAAGAGGTCCTGAGATTTGACATGTTTATAATGCAATTATTTCATAACACAAATCAAATTGCAAAGTCAAAGCATTAAAATAAGTCTCACACAATTCACACTTCAGTTTGTGTGAAAATTAAACTTCAAATGATATTTTGCAATCATCCACAATACAGCATTCAATTTGAGCTATAAGCCCTGGTGGCTTCATTGACCGATATGTCCTGGTCTATCCTAACAGTGCATCATAGTCAATGTACCATACAAGAGTCCCGCTCTTTGGCTGTACTTTGGTGATGGGATACTTAGATGATTCCCCCTTAATTCGGCTGAGTTGACTGACAAGTTCATGCTTGCTCTTCCCCATAATTAAAACACCTACCCTTCGAGCTCTATTGATAGCTGTGAATGTGAGACTCATCCTCTGATGAGGTTTAATGGGGCTCTCTGACAGAGTTACCAACCGTTCTTCGTCGCTTTCCAACTTGGTGTCCTGGAACAACGAGGCAGTGTGGCCGTCCTGGCCTACGCCGAGCAGGATGTAGTGGAAGCTGGAGGCATTGACATGTTTCTTTATTTCCTTCTCATATAATGCAGGACCACCATCCTCTTCCACGCATAACCGTTGGGTGAGATGCACTGGCATGGGGTGGATGTTGAAGTAGGGTATGCGGATATGCTGAAGCAGCAGATCGTGAATGGACCGGAAGTTGGAGCCAGATTCTGTATGTGGCACACATCGCTCATCCACTTGCCATATGTGAGTGTTGCGCCACGGAAAGGTGTAGAGGTTCAGGGCGAGCGCACGGAGCAGCGCCACCGGGCTGGAGCCACCAGACAAAGCCAGGTGAAACTGACCTCCTTCACGAATGGCCTCCTCAGCAGCCAGAAGAAGATCAGAAGCCAAGCGCTCCACCAGTTCCTGTGCCCAAGCAGATACCATTTCAGAACTACGGTACTTTCCTTGCATCACCTGGAAGTTGTCCTCGGCACCGGGGTTGATCACGTTGACCACAGCTTCATGGCTAAAGGCTACCTGATTGCCCCGCAGATGAAAGTTCAGCAGGTTCCCATTGGCTACGCCACCAGGATACACCCGCGGAAAGACCCGAGTCAAGCTTTCAAGGAGAGGCGTCCAAAACGCCCAGGAAGCAAGGAGTCCTTCAGCACTGATAAAGCTGTCCTTGCGTCCAAAGAAGACATGTGAGATCAGCTCGCAATAAGCCTCTCTGGGTACGACTGGCGTCTGGATGTAATAATCACTGAGGTGTAACCCCAGCACTTTTACGTCTTTGTGTTCGGTGACCTCTTTCCAGTCACCGCTGTTCACCAGGTCGGGCTTGAACAGGTTCTTGCTCACGAGAATCGCAGGGTACTGGAGGTCTCCGTGACCCAGATAAAATATGATCTGTTTGGTATTGCACTGAACATTGTCAGGATCCTGGACGCAAAATACATCACTTTTGAAAACTACACGTGCATAAGCAACCCGTTCATCAAGTGCCTTGCCTGAGGTCATAAATATGGGGATGCCCTCGTATTGCGCATTGTCGACATGAATGACCACACCTGTAAAGACAATCACAGTCAACGTAAGCATGGTTAGATTGATTTTCCACAATCAATGACTACGTTTACATTCCAGGTCTTTCTAAAAGGTCATGTAAACATGAACACCATTTTTCCTTCAACTTTATTTACGTGGTCAAGTAAACGCATAAGCAACATTCTGACGGTTTTAGAAGAGTGTGCATGTGTGTCAGATAACTAAAGCAACGGAGATGTGCGGATAAACGCGAAGTTCGCGAACACCTTCTTTGCATATCAAATGAGGAAACTAAAAAGCTCTTCCACTCACCAGCGAATGTGGGGGTTAGGCTGAAGTAGTCCTTTGTTTTATTGAGCTCTTCCTGAACCTCTCCATTGTAAGCTTGGTACTGACCTACGACCGCATTACTGTTATCTACATACTGTAGGGAAGCCAAGAAATGTAGCTTGTTTTGTAGTATCTCCTTGCTGTTGGAGGGGTTTGCAGGAAGATTCATCAGCATAAGGGTCATGACCTCTGTGAGGTGGTTCTGGAGCACATCTCTGATGACACCATATTGATCATAAAACTGAATACGCCCTGTAAATGAATGACAGATCAACAATCAATGCTAAAGAAATAACTGAGAAAATGCATGGAGAAAGGTTTCATCGATAACATGAACCATTTACAAGCAACTCAAAACCAGTACCTTTGGCATCCAGGGTTTCCTTCAATACAATTTCTATTCTTTCAATATGGTGCTTGTTCCAGATAGGGTCCAGAAGTTTCTTATTCTCTTTCCTAAATGGCAATATTTTAGAGACAACCTTTGCGACAGAAAAATAACAAATATTTTTTTAAAGCTCATGTAGATCCAGTCACTCATGTGAAAGTATACTACCATTCAAAATTCTGGGGTCAGTATGATTTTTTTTTTTTCATTGAAAGAATGGATTCAATAAGAATACACAAAGATACGTTAATTTGATCAAACATGATCTTTGAAAATTTATCAAGTAAATGCTTTTCTTTTGTACTTTACGTTCATCAAAAAATCCTGAAAAAAATGCATCGCAGTTTTAAACAATATTAATGTTTTATTCGATCATATAAATGCAGGCTTGGTGATCATAAGAGACTTCTTTCAAAAACACAAAGAAATCGTATCAACCCCAAACTTAATGTATGTTAATAAAATAATATGGTACCTGCTTCCCTAAATAGTGGTCAATCCTATACATCTCCTCTTCTTTCAGCTGGCCTGACAGTTTTCTGTCAAGGGACTGAGCACTAAAAAAGTCGTGACCAAATGGCTTCTCCAGTACCACCCTCAGCCATGCCTCAGGAGGGGGGCGGCAGGTGTTGTTGATCTTCTCTGCAATGTCTGCATATGCGAAAGCTGGAACAGACAGGTAGAAGAGCCTTCCTGCTTCGACAATACCCTCCTGTCCTAAATGCTGTTTGATCATCTGGCTGAGTTTTTCATAGTCCTCAGATGTCTTCAGTTGGTGATACTGGGACAGATGCAAAAACTGCTCTTTGACCAAAGCACAGCGTTCAGCAGAGAGCTCCGGAGGGCAAGCCAGCTCCTTCAAGATCCCAAACAGCATCGGAGTTCCCTTCTCAGTCGGCGAAAGGCCCCCACCATAAAATGAGAAGGTGTGTCCTTTGCCTACCTGGTCAGCATAGAGCTGGAAAAAGCCTTGCCATAGGTACTTCCTGGCCAAGTCACCTGTCCCACCCACAACTACCACAGTCACATGCCCAAGACTCTGCTTAGCCTCATGATTATCTGTGTGGCCTCTGTGCCAGCATATGGTGGCCATTAGCAGCAGCTCCCATCGTATCCTCAGCATTGTGATGTCAAGTGCCCACCTTTAAAAAAAAATAATAATAAAAAGATTTTAGAATGTTTAAGAAATCTAATGATTCAAATTCAGAAAATTTGATTGAATTTAATCATTTTTAATTAAAAAAAAGGTATAACTTTTAAAAGGAGGGTAAGTGATGATAAAAATGTCATTTTTGGGTGAACTATACCTTTAATGGTGATTAAAGGCACTGAATTGACCGCATTTAGAAGCTGGATTCTAAAGTTTGCTTCGTTATTTGGCATATTGACTAATAGCTTCATTTCCTATCTATAACTCAGCATAAAGTGAACACCTTATGCAAACATTTAGCTGATGATACAAACTAGCTTCAATCCTCACATAAAACACATGATTAAAATATATATTATAATAATATCCGCTAATATATATATATATATATATATATAAACCTAAATGAAGGCTAAATATAACTAGAATGTACATTTCCAGAAGAAAATGTGAAGTGGTGCTTGCAGTGGCAAAACTCGCCGCTCGGTTGCTAGGGTGCGGTGACCTAGTTTTTACCAAGATGCTAGCATGATTAGCATGTTGCTAGTATCATGCTAGCATGATTAGCATGTTGTTAGCATTATGCTAGCATGATTAGCATGTTGCTAGCATCATGCTAGCATGATTAGCATGATGCTAGCATGATTAGCATATTGCTAGCATGTTGCTAGCATGATGCTAGCATGATTAGCATGTTGTTAGCATGTTGCTAGCATGATGCTGGCATGATTAGCATGTTGCTACCAACATGCTAGCATGATTAGCATGTTGCTAGCATGATGCTAGCAAAAATAAGCATGTTGCAAACATGTTTTAGCTAGATGCTAGCATGATTAGCATATTGCTAGCATCATGCTAGCATGTTTAGCATGTTGCTAGCATGGTTGCTAAGGTGTTACTAGGTGGTTGCTAGGGTATTATGGGTGGTTGCTAGGGCGTTGCTAGGCGGTTGCTAGGGTGTTCTGGGTGGTTGCTATGGTGTTGCTAGGCGGTTGCTAGGGTATTCTGGGTGGTTGCTAGGGTGTTTTGGGTGGTTGCTAGGTGGTTGCTAGGGTGTTTTGGGTGGTTGCTAGGGCGTTGCTAGGTGGTTGCTAGGGTGTTCTGGGGGGTTGCTATGCGGTTGCTAGGGCGTTGCTAGGCGGTTGCTAAGGTAATGTGGTTGGTTGCTAGGGCGTTGCTAGGTGGTTGCTATGGTGTCCTGGGTGGTTGCTAGGCGGTTGCTAGGGTGTTCTGGTGGTTGCTAGGGCGTTGCTAGGCAGTTGCTAGGGTGTTGCTAGGGTGATCTGGGTGGTTGCTATGGTGTTACTAGGTGGTTGGTAGTTGTCAAAGATGGTTACTGTTGAGTTTGTAGCATTTTATTGGCATGATTTAGCACTTAGCTAATCAATATTAGCATGTAGCTATTCACTGCTAGCATGTGTAGGATGTAGCAAGTCCTGTTTGCTAGCATGAGTCAAAAGAGCCAACCCCCATCTCTATACGATGTTCTGATACAGAGATATAGGTCTTGCAAAACGGTTGCTAGGGTACTCTGTTTGGTTGCTAGGGAGTGGCTTGGCAGCTGCCAATCATGAAGGTCCAAAGTGAATGTGAATGTATAAACCAACCCCCATCTCTATACGATGTTTTAAAGCAGACATATAGGTCTTGCAAAATGGTTGCTAGGGTACTCTGTTTGGTTGCTAGGGAGTGGCTTGGCAGCTGCCAATCATGAAGCTCCAAAGGCTGCTTGTCAGTATAAATGATATAAACCAACTCCCATGCCTCTGTGACATTCAGAATGGAAGATATCCCTGTTTGGATTTTGGTTGCTAAGGTGCTCGACAATGGTTGCTAGGGCGTGGCCAGTAAGTGTTGAGGTGATTCAGGATTGGCTGTTTGCTGGCCCGAGTGAAACGAGCCCACCCTCATGTTTCTATGACACTTATATCCTGAGATATCCCTTTGATCTGTTTCAATGGAAGTCTATGGAACTTGTTGCTAAGGAGCTCTAAATGGTTGCTAGGGCGTGGCTTGATAGCTTCACAATGATCCTGAGAGACTGATTGGCCGTCTGAGTAAAATGAGCCCGCCCCTTTGTCTCTACGACACTGTGATCCAGAGTTATGTTCAATATAAAAGCGGTTTCTATGGTGTAGGACGGCCCATTTCATGGGCCGTCCTACACCATAGTAAGTCAATGGGGCAACTTTGGGCCCCTCCTGCCCCCCACGGGTGCAACTTTTACCCCATTGTGTGGTATGTTCTTACAGAGCCTGTCAGCCTCTTCAAATGTGGTAAATTACACGTTTCTGCGACATCCTCGTTCCGAGCTACGACGCGTCAAAGTTTGACGCAATGTTAAGTCTATGGGATTTTTCGGCCGGTTTTTCGCCCCTGGGGCGAACATCGTACCCCCGATCCCTTATAAAAGTCATAGCACACCATTCCCGAACAGGCCGCACGTTTTGACACCTCATTCATGGGTCTGTGACAAAAACTGCGGGAGGAGTAGCGCGTCAAAAAGTGGCCAGAAGAATAAGAAGAATAAGAAGAACTAGAATGTACATTTCCAGAAGAAAATGTGAAGTGGTGCTTGCAGTGGCAAAACTCGCCGCTCGGTTGCTAGGGTGTTGTTGGAGTTTGCTATGATGATGCAAGGCAGTTGCTAGGGTGTTCTGGGTGGTTGCTAGGTGGTTGCTAGGGTGTTCTGAGTGGTTGCTAGGGTGTTGCTAGGTGGTTGCTAGGGTATTCTGGGTGGTTGCTAGGGTGTTGCTAGGCGGTTGCTAGGGTGTTCTGGGTGGTTGCTAGGGTGTTGCTAGGTGGTTGCTAGGGTGTTCTGAGTGGTTGCTAGGGTGTTCTGGGTGGTTGCTAGGGTATTCTGGGTGGTTGCTAGGGTATTCTGGGTGGTTGCTAGGGTGTTGCTAGGCGGTTGCTAGGGTGTTCTGGGTGGTTGCTAGGGTGTTGCTAGGCGGTTGCTAGGGTGTTCTGAGTGGTTGCTAGGGTGTTGCTAGGTGGTTGCTAGGGTATTCTGGGTGGTTGCTAGGGTGCTGCTAGGTGGTTGCTAGGGTGTTCTGTGCGGTTGCTAGGCGGTTGCTAGGGTATTCTGGGTGGTTGCTATGGTGTTGCTAGGCGGTTGCTAGAGTGTTTTGAGTGGTTGCTAGGCGGTTGCTAGGGTGTTCTGGGTGGTTGCTAGGGTGTTGCTAGGCGGTTGCTAGGGTGTTCTGGGTGGTTGCTAGGGCGTTGCTAGGGTGTTCTGGGTGGTTGCTAGGGTGTTCTGGGTGGTTGCTAGGGTGTTGCTAGGTGGTTGCTAGGGTGTTTTGAGTGGTTGCTAGGCGGTTGCTAGGGTGTTCTGGGTGGTTGCTAGGGTGTTGCTAGGCGGTTGCTAGGGTGTTCTGGGTGGTTGCTAGGGCGTTGCTAGGCAGTTGCTAGGGTGTTCTGGGTGGTTGCTAGGGTGTTGCTAGGGTAATTTGGGTGGTTGCTATGGTGTTACTAGGTGGTTGGTAGTTGTCAAAGATGGTTACTGTTGAGTTTGTAGCATTTTATTGGCATGATTTAGCACTTAGCTAATCAATATTAGCATGTAGCTATTCACTGCTAGTATGTGTAGCATGTAGCAAGTCCTGTTTGCTAGCATGAGTCAAAAGACCCAACCCCCATCTCTATACGATGTTCTGATGCAGAGATATTGGTCTTGCAAAACGGTTGCTAGGGTACTCTGTTTGGTTGCTAGGGAGTGGCTTGGCAGCTGCCAATCATGAAGCTCCAAAGTCAATGTGAATGTATAAACCAACCCCCATCTCTATACGATGTTCTGATGCAGAGATATTGGTCTTGCAAAATGGTTGCTAGGGTACTCTGTTTGGTTGCTAGGGAGTGGCTTGGCAGTTGCCAATCATGAAACTCCAAAGGCTTCTTGTCACTATGAATGATATAAACCAACTCCCACGCCTTTGTGACATTCAGAATGGAAGATATCCCTCATTGGATTTTGGTTGCTAAGGTGCTCGACAATGGTTGCTAGGGCGTGGCTAGGAAGTGTTGAGGTGATTCATGATTGGCTGTTTGCTGCCCCGAGTCAAACGAGACCACCCTCATGTTTCTATGACAATTCAGTCCAGAGATATCCCTTCGATCTCTTTCAATGGAAGTCTATGGGAGTTGTTGCTAAGGTGCTCTAAATGGTTGCTAGGGCGTGGCTTGATAGCTTCACAATGATCCTGAGAGACTGATTGGTTGTCTGAGTAAAATGAGCCCGCCCCCTTGTCTCTATGACACTGTGATCCAGAGTTATGTTCAATATAAAAGCGGTTTCTATGGTGTAGGACGGCCCATTTCATGGGCCGTCCTACACCATAGTAAGTCAATGGGGAAACTTTGGGCAGCTCCTGCCCCCCAGGGGTGCAACTTTTACCCCATTGTGTGGTATGTTCTTACAGAGTCTGTCAGCCTCTTCAAATGTGGCAAATTTCACGTTTCTGCGAAATTCACACTCTGAGCTATGACTCGTCAAAGTTTTTCGCAATGTTAAGTCTATGGGATTTTTTTGGGCCGTTTTTCGCCCCTGGGGCGACCATCGTACCCCCGATCTCTTAGAAAAGTCATAGCACACCATTCCCGAACAGGCCGCACGTTTTGACACCTCATTCATGGGTCTGTGACAAAAACTGCGGGAGGAGTAGCGCGTCAAAAAGTGGCCAGAAGAATAATAATAAGAAGAATAATAACTAGAATGTACATTTCCAGAAGAAAATGTGAAGTGGTGCTTGCAGTGGCAAAACTCGCCGCTCGGTTGCTAGGGTGCGGTTAGCTAGTTTTTACCAAGATGCTAACATGATTAGCATGTTGCTAGTATCATGCTAGCATGATTAGCATGTTGTTAGCATTATGTTAGCATTATTAGCATGTTGCTAGCATGATTAGCATGTTGCTAGCATCATGCTAGCATGATTAGCATGATGCTAGCATGATTAGCATGTTGCTAGCATGATGCTAGCATGATTAGCATGTTGC